TCCTACAGTGGGTGCAAGGTCTTCATTCTCACAGTGCCTGCGTCTGCCTTCCAAGACTTGGGTGGTGTGGTCAGAGCCTTTGCCAGTGAAGTCTGAGGCAAAGAAGTCATTCAGAACCTCAGCCTTCTCCAAATCCTGTGTAGCCAGTTCTCCTGAGAGCTTCCTGAGGGGGCCTACGCTCTCCCTAGTCTGTTTTTTGTCTGCTATGTACCTGTAGAATCCCTTCCTGTTATCCTTAATATCCCTAGGCAAGTTAAATTCTAACTGGGCCTTAGCTTTCCTAACCTGTTCTCTAGCTTCCCAGACAACATCCCTGTACTCTTTCCAGGCCAACTGTCCTTACTTCCACATTTTATAAGCCTCTTTTTTCATTTGAATTTTCCTCCAGAGCTCCTTATTCATCCAAGGAGGTCTCCTGGCCCTCCTGCTGCACTTCCTTCTAGTTGGGATGCAACACTCCTGAGCTTGCAGCAGGTGATCCGTGAATATCAACCAAGAGTCTTGGGCACCCCTGCGCTCTAGGGCTGTATTCCATGGAACCTTATGAAGCAAGTTCCTGAAGAGGCCAAAGTCTGCTGTCTTGAAGTCCTGGGCAGTGAGTTTGCTGCATGCTCTTCTCACTGTCCTGAGGATCTCGAATTCAACCATCTCATGATAGCTGCATCCAAGGCTGCCCTGGAGTGCCACATTTCCAACGAGCCCTTCCCTGTTGGTGAGGACGAGGTCACGCATGGCACCTCTCCTTGTCGGCTCCTCTGTTACTTGCAGAAGGAAGTTGTCTTCCACACAATCGAGGAACCTCCTGGATTGCTTGTGCCAGACTGTACTGTCACTCCAACCGATGTCAGGGTGGCTGAAGTCACCCATGAGAACAAGGGCCTGCAAGTGTGAGGCTTTTCCTATCTGTCTATAGAGTGCTTCATCCGCAGGTTCTCCTTGATCAGGCGGTCTGTAACAGATCCCTACAGCAATGTCTCCCGTAGCTGTTCTTCCTTTAACCCTGACCCACAAACTCTCTGTGGACTGCTCACCTGTCCCCAGACAGAGTTCCATACTCTCCAGCCTATCCCTAACATAAAGGGCAACTCCCCCTCCCCTCTGCCAGGCGTGTCTTTTGTAAAAAGCCTGTAACCTTCCGTTCCAACACTGCAGTCATAGGAGCCATCCCACCATGTTTCTGTGATGCCTATTATATCATACCCCTGTAGATGTGCCCACATCTCTAATTCCTCTTGTTTGTTCCCCATGCTAATGGCATTTGTATAGAGGCATCTGAGCCCAGCTCCAAATGAAGCCAGCTCATTGGCTGGAGCAGCTGGGATATCTCTACATTGCTCCAGGCATTTATTATAGGTGCTGGCAACTGACTGGGTCTGTTGGGATGGAATGATGCCCCCCTCCCCCAACACATCTAGTTTAAAGCCTCCTTGACCAGTCTGGCAAGCCTCCTACCAAAACTGCTTTTCCCCTTCTTTATCATCAGACCAGCTCCACCAGCCCCCGCTAGATCTGGCCTACAAACTTGGGTCTTGTGTTCAAGACACCCAAACCCCTGACTATGACACCACCCTTTTAACCAGTTATTAACCTGGCAAATCCTCCTAGCTTTTCTTAGGTCCTCCCCTGTACCCTGGAGAATTGACAAAAAGACCATCTGAGCTCCAGAGCCTCTAACCACCTCCCCCAGGGCTCTGTAGTCCTTCTTTGTTCCCCAGGCTACTACTATCTATATCCCTAGCACCCACATGTATCACCAGAAGTGGGTAATAGTCCGTGGGACTTACTAGAGCAGGCAGCCTCTCTGCCACATCCCTGATGTGCCCCTGGTAGGCAGCACACCTCCCTTGAGACAGGGTCTGGCCGTGTCCTGGGTTCAGCAGTAGCAGTCATGTTTTTTTTTTTCCTTTGTGTTAGCTGGTGCAGTGCTGTGTTTTGACTTCCAGCCTGAGAACAGTGTTGGTGAAGTCGATGTTTTCAGTTGTTGCTAAATGATGTTTACCCTGACCAAGGACTTTGTGAGGCTCATGCTCTGCCAGGGAGGAGGGGAAGCTGTGAGGAAGCAGAAACGGGGCGCCTGACCCAGGCTAGCCAGGGAGGTATTCCATACCACAGCACGTCATGGCCGGGGTGAGGGGTAACTGGGAGTTACCCAGAAGGACGCGGGCTTCCGGGTGGGACTCATTTCTTGGCCGGTGGTATCGTATTCTCTTCCCTTGTTATTTTCCCTTATCATTGTTGTAGTTGATAGTAGCGGTGGTGATTTGTGTTGTACATTGGTTGCTGGACTGTTCTTGTCTCAACCCGTAGGAGTTGCACTCTTTCGATCCTCCTCCCCGTTCCTCCGGGAGCGGGGAAGGGGAGAGCCCCGGTGGGGGCGGGACACGGACCTCGATTGTTGTCAGCTCGGCACCACTCACTGGGAGTGAGTGAACAAGTTACCTGACGGGGTTTAAACCACGACAGGCCGGCAGACGAGTGCTTCTGTCCCTTTCAGTGTAGAGTCCCCTACTACTACAACCCGCCGCTTTTTCCTAGCAGCACCAGTAGAGATCTTCTTTACCAGTGCATCAGCCGGCTGTTTCTGTTGCGAGTGCGTTTCCTTGTCAGCCCCCTGCAGGACAGCAAAGCGGTTCTGTGTGGGGCAACAGATTTAGGAGGAAGCTCCTTGCTTTTAATTGTTCTATTCCTCCTCTCCTTTTTTTGTTGTTTGTTTTGTTTTTTTTTTTTTTTCTGTCACTAATTCCCAGCTTCCCGGGTTAACGGCCTCCTTCTTTCCTTCATGAGCTAGAGGTGAAGCTTGAGGTCCCTGCACAGTCTGGGCCGGGAGCAAGCATTCCTGCTTCCTCTCAGCTTCCCTGACATCTCGCAGCCTATTGACAGCATCCCGCAGCTCAGCCCCTGCTGCAGGAGGACCTCCACCAGGGAGCACTGAGGGCAGCCCTGCCCATTGTGCACCCTCCCCTCACCAGAGCAGTGCAGGCACTCTCCTCTCTACACCCCGAGCTCTGCACTGCAGCCTCCCCTCTCATCGGCTCTGTCTGGGTGCCTACGCTGGCCACCACCGGCACAGCTCCCAGACGAGGCCCTGCTCATACGATGAGTGTGCTCCGTCCCGCACGAACTGCCTCGACCCACTCTGTTCGCCGCGCTCCTGGTCCAATAGGCCCAGACCTGAATGGGGACTTCATGTGTTACCTTTATTCATCTTCTTAGTAAAAGAATGATTCATTTATTATGAATAAATAAAATATTGTGAAGAAAATATTATTTATTATAAATAAAGGAAGTAATGATTTGCAAGGCAGGAGCGTGACATGAGTATAACCTGTGTGTATCTCATGTTATACAAACTAAAGGACTGTATTGTATATGTGTGGGAAGTTTCATGTTGGGTTGATGCTATTTATAACATCTTGTTCAGACTATGAAATTGCGTTGTCGAGGATCTCAAAGAATAGGAAGTCATGAATTGCTCTTTCTGATATTGGAGCACTGAATTTTTTTTTTATGGTGGCTGAAATAGAAATAATGTAGACTTTTATGCTGTGTAGTAAGCTTTCGATTGAGTGTATTTAGTCTATCCTCTGTCAGTGGAAACTGCAGTAGCAGTTACGTCGCACAGTGGTGTGAAAGCCACAGCATTGGAATGGTAGTCATTTATACTAGGCATATTACAATAAATTAATTTTGATCCAGTAGAAGATCACTTGTATGATTTACTCATGCTTTTCACCATATTTTCTGTTCATATCTTCTGTTGCTTAGTGTCAGAAATCAGATTTTAGGAAAGCTCATCTTAAATGTCAAGATATGAAGAGGCTTTGCTGGTGATAAAATTGAAGTACTTGTAAATGTGCCTTTCTCACAGGGCACCTGTATATCCCTCCTTCACCTGGGGATGATTTTGGAGAAAATACAGCATAGGTGATACTATGCCTATGTCTGACAGAGATATTGAAAAATCCACTCAATAGAGATGTATCAAAATATGTGTAAATTAAGGGCCACAAACAGAAACATACGATCTTTCTCTGTGTGATTAAATATATTTGGTGACTTAAAATTAATTTCCAAAGCATAGTAATTTGATTCCTAGTATCAAATAAAAGCTTACAAATACTTCCCTTCATGTTATAGGAGCAGCTAACCATTTCAGAAACAGCTAACCATCTGGAAGTTTCTTAAGGGTGTGGTTAAGCTGCTTTTGGTGTTGTTGAACTGGAAGTTGGAAGCTGTTCCTGTGACAGATATGTTTTTGCTATATAACTGCTTTGCCTTCATTTTCAGAAATACTAGTCAGTATTTTAGCTGGTCCTCTGGTATTGTACCTGTGTTAGTTTTGCATATTTAAATTGCAAAAAATGCATGAGATCTGCTTGCATTTGAAAGGACAAAACATTGTAGTATGTGTGTATATATACGATAATTTAAACCCTTGTAAACAATGTGCTTTTAATGTGCTGTGCCAGATCACTTCAGTGATATTGTTCTGTTCTTGTGGTCACAAGGATTTCTTTTCCCCATCCAAAGAAATCAACAGGAATAGCACCTTTATCTTCAGAACAGAAAGTCTAAGTCTGCTCCCTAACTTGCTTGTGTATGTAGGATGTTGGTGGCATATGTTTGATAGTGAAGGGGCTTTACTTCTCAGACTATGCAATACTAACAGTTGCCTTACTGGAGTTTAAAATTAGTAGAATGATATAGGACTTCCTGGTTTAGCTGACCTGTGAATTGTCTTATGATGTGTAGAAAATTTTGAATTCTTATTAAGTCATGACAGAATTCCTGAATACTTTATTGTAATTTTAATTGATTTTTAGATTTAGAAGTTTAAAAGATTGTAAATGCACACAGGTCTTACGATATTTCAGTTACTTTATTGAACCATGTTACGTTTTGTGCAAAGATGCAGAAATTGCCTGAAGTTTGATATCTTGTTCTTCATTCAGTGGTGAAACTTACCTGCATGCCTAATTGTTTGTTTTGTTTCCTTTTAGATGAAACGACTCCTAAAGAAGTCAGCAGGGTAAGTACTACTCTCCTCTCTAAAAAGAAGTATGGTCTCTTAGGCCTCCTGGTCACTTGAGATTATTTTTGTGCAGGGTCTGGTCAGGATTTTACTCTATTCTCCTTGATATATATCCACTGATAGTTAAAAAAAAAAAAAAAGGGAGTATTGACTGACCAGAGAACAGTTCACAAGGAAAATAAGTATTAAGAACACTTGATTGGCTGTAAATAAATTAAAGGGTATTTGACATTAACAAATTTAGAGTTCTCACATTGCTGTTTTCGTGATCCAGTGTCAAAAAAATTATTTTATGGAAACTAGGAAAATCATGGGAACTTTCAGCATAACAGCATAAGCATTTAATCAGTGTTACTACCTTGAGAAATGGCAAGCATAGGAGGAAACAAGGGAAGAAATATGCCCTATTTAATAACTGCCTTTGACATGTGCTGTGGTGTTCTTTAATTTGAAATATTTTGCAGTGTACTAAATGAAATATAATCTAAAATGTTCAGCAACATATTCAGTAATATATTCCCAACTCTAGCCTTACATCTGATTGACCCTGTGTCCTGCAGAATATTGGTTTGTGGTTGAGGACTAGTTAGGAGGATCTGTTGGAAACCAGTGCCTTTGCCGGGAATAACAAAAGATCAGCACAGGACAGTCTGTTGCCGTGAGATGCCTGCAGTCAGCCTGAAGCACCCAAATGTTATTTCATATGAGGGAGCCACTTACAGCTTTCTGAGGTGGAGTCATAGTCCTATTTTGCTCCTCGTCTTGAATGTCTTGCATAAACTGTTTCATGTTTCCAGGAGAAAGGCAGTACTGTCAGACACACATTAAAAATAAGGCCTATTGAAAGGCTGCAAAAGCTGGCTGGGTGGTCTTGCTCCCAGTAGAAGTCCTTTGGAAAATACCAGCGTATGGAAGGAGTGGAAACAGGCTGGTGGTGGAAACCTCAGTTTGGTAACCCTGAGAGTAGAGGGCTGGCATGAGGGGGAATGCAGTTCGCCTCTTCCAATACTACAAAAAAGAAATTATGCCTAAAATTAGTCTAAAATTAGTATACTCAAGCAGGGTTTTTCCATATATGTGATGTACTACAGATGTATAAGGGTATTGAGAATTTAGGTGAAAATAGTATGGTTTAGTAATTCATTAATGTATAACACCTTTTTTTTGGTCATCCCTTGGTAGTCAACATTTACAGCAGTTAAGTGTATATTACAACTATAGTTGTAAGTGTAACTAAAGTTTATTGTTATCAGTGTATCTGCATATATATTGTTCTGCTAGGTTGGAAGGAGTCTTAGGTGACAGAGTTTAGTGCGTGGTACCTCTGCTCATGAGGGGGGTTGGAACTAAATGATGGTAAGGTCCTTTCCAACCCTAACTGTTCTGTGATTCTATGATTTCAATGTAATTAAAGATCTACCTAAAAATCTTAGAGCCTTAATTATTTCTTTGGAAGAAAGTTCCTTTTATTTGTCATTAATTTGGTAAATAGATTCATTTTTACCTAAAATTCTGTAAAATGAAGTTAGAAAACATATCCAGGTTACTACATTTGAGCTATTTGAGGAAAAAAAAAAATAAAGTAAGCTCTGGAACCCTGAACCCCCAACCCTGAGTCTGCACTGCCAGTCGTCATCCCTTCTGCCTCTCAGGCATCCTGGTCCCAGACATCTCAGATCGTCAAAATGATATATATTGACTTACGAGTTTTGCTGAAGATGAATGGGTGTCACCTGAAGTCCTGGAGTCAGTGGGGTGCAGATAATACTTCAGATGATGTTTTCTGCATCGTTTTTTTTGGGAGTTTTAAGCTGTCAGTCATAGTGTGTACAGTCATGATGTGCACACTGTGTTACTCTACTTTTTAAAGAAAAATACCTGTGGGCACTTAATAATGCACCACATTGTAAATGAACATGTTTGTTATATTATTTTTGCATAATGCCATATATTATAATGTAGACCCTTGCAATACATTATATTCTTCAGTAGCAGCTCAAACAGATGCCAGTTTAATTAAAATCTGAACATAAATTAGAATTTAAATTGGGAAAGTTCTGTATGTGAGTAATGTTTTTCAGACAAAAAGATATGTTCATGCTGACTGAAGAATTATGAGTTTTAAGGTCATTAAGTTACAATTTTAATTCCTGAAAATGTCTGCAAGAAGCAGCTTATATCATTGGGAAGCAAAAATAAAGGTTAGTGAAAGTAAATTTATTGCAGAATTAAATCATCACCTGCTTTAAAATATTAGCCATGGACCAAGGTAGAAATATGTTGAAAAAATGTGGTTTTCATTGATGGGTTGTTTTTTCTCCATCTTTCAATGTTGGGCAGAGTGACAACACGAGAACATTCATAGTCATATGCCCTGACATTGGTTGGTTCAATAGTCTCCCTTTCTGTTGTGCTTGCACAGAACAACAGCATTAAATTGGGGGAGGATATTATTTATTAAATTTCTTTAACCCCTTTCTCCCCCCCAGAAAGCCTGTCCTTTTTTCTTTATAAACATACCTATTAGAGCCCTGGGGCTCTAAATACTGAACATGTCATTCCTTTACATTTTTTTCTTTTAATCAGCAGAATGCAGTGGGATGAATGGTGTCCAATTTTTTGGGGAAAAAAAAATAAATCTTGAATTATTGGAAGGAAATGCCTGTATTTTTCAAGGGCATATATTGCAATTTCACACTTTGAAAACTGAAGTTCTGAAAACTGCAGTGGTATAGGATCTGCATTTTTAATCTTTTGCCATTTTTAGAGGCTTAGTAGAGAAATGAAAATCAAGTAGCGATCTTGGCTATCAGTATTATGTTGCATGCTTTTGAAACAAGAAGGGAGTGGGAGAAACCTTCCACATACCTTAAATTTTGAGATTTGTAGAACAGAAAAGCAGCTTTTCAAAATTTACTGTCTTTAAATCTGGTCTGCTGATGGCACTTTCATCAGTATTTTGGTGTTCAGAAGTTATATGTAAATTTATCTGAGACTGGCCTGACATAATATCTGGTCAGAGTGGAGGAAGATTTCCCCATTCCTGTAGACTGTTTTTGGCATAATAACAACTCTGGTTGCAAAACATCTCATAAGCATCTGTGACCAAACATTGAACCTGTGAACTTTTTTCTACATGCTAGGTTCCAGAATTTATGAAATACGTGTAACTGGAGACAAAAATCACCGCATGATATAATATTGGGAGCATCCTTGGAAAGGCTGAGTTTCTTCTGCTTACTTATTGTGCAGATGTGTGTTGGCTTTTCCCATTCATCCTAGCTACAGAAAGGGTTTCTGGACAGAGGGATTTCAGAAAGAAAACTAACTATTGAACTCTTTTGATGAAGCAAACTTAAGCTGAATTTTATACTTTGTTTTTGCTGGTTTATCCACAAAGGAAATGAAAATAGAGGAGCGTGAGTGTGAATACTAAGTGCGTGTGTATTCATGTACATCTAGACTAACACTGCATTTCTTTGACAGTATTAGTGAAAACAGTGTGCATCAGAGACATGTTATTCTTTTCAGTTGGCAAAAATAACCCCATTCCTACATGAACTATAGCCAGAATTTTGTTCTACGTGCTGCTAAGTTTCCCATGATCACTGTGTGCTCTTTTGTACCGCAGATTCTGAAGTTTAAACAAAAATACTTCATGTTCCCGATATGATCACAGCAAAATTAGCTGTTGTTCATTTTGCTTAATGACTTTCCATTCCATGTTTACTTGAACAATACTTCCAGTGAAGCTGCTTTTTGGCAAGTACCTTTGCTTTGTAAACTCCAGTGATGCAACAGCAAATCACTTTGCAGAAGTTTACCGTATAAACATCAGAAAATTATTACCTAGCAAGTGACTAGCTCATTTATAGTACTTTCTTCTTGGAAACAGGAATAATACTTTAATCATCCCCTTTCCCCTTTTTGGACTTGGAGCTTTTGGCAGCTGCCTTGGCACCAGCTAGCACCCAGCACAGTATGTCACTGACAGTTACAGAATTAGCAAGTGTGTTTTCAGTAAATAGTTGCAGTAATTGCATGCATCTTCACCGTGCAAATGATAATAAAAGTTTTTGCTTTTTATGACACGTTGGCAAAGCAAGCTCATTCTTTGCAGTATTTCCTTATTAAAGATGTGATTTGAATGTTTTCACACAGTCTCAGAGCTGAAAACTGCAACAAATTAATCAAAAAGTAAGGGGAACTAGAGCAAACATACATATTTAGCCTTTAGGAGTGATGGCATTGCACCCATTGTTATGAGAAGATGCTTGTGTAAGCTGATGTCTTTATAAAGAAAATCTTGTGGATACCGTGGCGATGATAAGCAACAGGGGTAGGAAAATGAGGAAGTTTATTTTTAATTTTGTACATGATGTCTTTAGAGTGCTTGCAAGTCAAGTATTAGGAGGGAATGTGATTTTATAAAAAGCTTTTTAAAACGAGGAGCAGTATTCAGTCTTGTCAAGTTAAAATGAAGCTCATTATGCTATTTTATTATATAACCTAGAGAGGTGATATAATTGAGATATTAATGCAGTTTTATGAGCCTTACAGTTAATAACAGCTTATATAGTTACTTCTGTGCAATCATAATGTTCTTTTCTCATAATCCAAGTCTTTGGTTTTTATTATGTATTTTTCCTATTATTAGGGAAGCAGTTTGTTTCAGTGTTGCCACTTGATAACAGGGAAGGAGCTGATGTAATGATTAGAATTGGATGCCAGTGAATGCGGGCTATTTAGCAAGAAGCTTCTCCTAGGGAAGGTGTTCTCACCACCTCTCCAAGTCTGTGAAATCAGCTATGTAAACAGGCTATGAAACATGTGCCTTCAAAACTAGTGAGCCCTTTCTGTGCAGAGTGAGAGAGCTGATTTGCGTATTTTGACATAGTAGGGCCCATCCCGCCAAATGCCATCTTGTATTTTTCCTTCTTTGCTTTTGTCATGAATGGTGTTTGGTGTATGAACAAACAATTCACCTGTGTATGGTGTCTCAATGTTAAACTTTATTTACTGAGCAAGTTCTAACCCATGTCCTCTGCAGTCAAAACAAGAATAGACGTCAGACAAATTGTGTAGAAACAGTTTTCTCTGAGGCTATGTAAAAGTATTAGAATTAATCACAGTTCAGTCTGCTCTTTATAGCTTCTTGCTTTTCAGTGTCCAAGTTTAGACAAAGCTGGTTACTCCAGCCAATCCTGGTTACCCCTTCTGGGGTTTTTTAGAGCAGAGAGATTTTTCTGAGCTTCCTCTCCAAGCTCTCTGCTCCCATGAAAGCTGGCTCTGCACTGTAAGCTTGCTTACAACACTCTGTCCACTGTTTATTTTCAGTCTGAGAATTTGACATCCTTTGGCTCAGCATGTCCACCTTGAAGCAAAGTAGCAGTATTGCTCCCTTTCTATAGGTTTTCTATATAGTATTTTTTTTGTTGGTGGTGTTTTTTTTTTGTGTTTGGTTGTTGTTTGTTTTTTTTGTTGTTGTTGTCGTTTTGTTTGTTTGTTTGTGTGTTTTACTTTTGTAATGAATGAAGTCCAGGTCCATATTTTTGTTGTTTCACATGTGCAGTTTAGATGTATTTTCACTGTTAGTAGAACACAGTTAATCTCTTAGTTATCTGTGCCCCAAAATTAGAAGCACCAGATTCTATTCTAGATGTGAACTAGCCATCAGTGCAGCTGTGTGTCCTTTTCCCAATTTACTTAATGGTTTAGTTAAATATTTATTTATTTATTTTTCTGCAAGCATTTCTTTCTTTATACCCATTGGTGGATGAAAATGCTTGCTGCATGCTAGAAGAACTGGTCCCTGCTTTCCCAAAAGTCTGCTTCCAAGGCGTGTTGATGTGACAGGTCAGCACCTTCTCCTGTTTCCTTGGCAAAATGCCTGTGCTGTATTTCCACACTGAGTGTGTAACTAAACAGAACTTCACAGCCACCTCCTACAACAGGTACCACTCTGGCCCTCATAACCCTGTGGTCAGCTACAGACCTCCATCAGTTGACAAAAAGCTCTGTCTTGTGGTTCTCTCGCACATCCTCTGAAACCAGCCTAAGATGCCTAAATTACAGATGAAAAATAAGCAACATCAAAAGGAATCTTTCTGGATGTAGCCATTTGCCCCCATGTTTTGTGGCTTTCAGTTTGGTTGTTTTGGTTTTGTTTGGGGTTGTTTGTTGTTTTTTTTTCCCATGGTTGGTTGGGTTTCTTTTCCTAGCCTCATGCAATGAAATTCCACTTCCCCAAAGTACATTTGGCTGTCTCTCTCCATATTACATGGAATTTGGGCTGTCCATTTATTCAAATTCCTACTGGCCTGTGATGTTGTATACTATATGGTCTGTAAAAGGACATGTTTCTGTTGCAGAACCAGGCAATTGTTGGTGTGGAGAAAGAGCTCTGTGGTAGGGAGTATTATGAAGTTGCTCTTCTCATTGCTATTCAGAAGACATTTTAAGAAGTTACAGAGAAACCAGATCAACTTCTTGATTATGTTGGCATTTATTGACCATGTGCTGTATTAATGAAGGCTTTTTGTTGCAGTAGAAGGGCTTTTTCTTTTCTGCAGGAGCACAAAATGCCCCAGGCACATCTACCCTGTAAGCATGAAAACATGGAAATTAATCTTCATTTCAGTTTGTTGTATGTAAAGTTTACTTTAGTCCTTGAATATTTTAATTTTTGTGTATGTGTCTTAATTGCTCAGGATGAATGCTTAAAATTCATCTCTATGATATTTTGATATCTCTTCTCATGGAATAAAATGTTTATGATTCTCAGCCCCTTTGTTTATATCTAAGTCACAGCACTGTTCGTAAATCACTTGTCATAGGCTGCTGCCTTCTGTTGTACCACAGTATTCTAAAGACAAACAACCAGATGATCTTTCGAGGTCCCTTCCAATCTCTAGCATACTGTGATACTGTGATACTGTGAGCCATAGAATCATTTTTAGATAAGTCCTGCAAAAATGCCCTTCTTTCATATATATAAATTCGAATATGACTATTTATAACAGGATTTTCCTTAATTGTTATTTATTTTCACAGTATTCTAATAATATGCAGCTACTAGAAATACGATGCCAGTATGGTAGTGGCATGATAGTGCTAAACTGTTTTTTCGTGCGCTTGAATTATTTTAATGTAATGTCACTGAAATTCAGAATTTTACAGTAAGTATGCAGAAATCCTTGTAGACACTGAATTTTAAATAGAAGGAAATCAACAACAGGAAGAATTAAGTAAAAGGAGGTATTAATGATGTTTAAATTGCAAACTAAATTATTATTATAATGAATTAAGGAACAGTATTTTCACTATATCCGATGACAAACAGGTAGTCTTTTTTCCACCAAGTGTGTTGAATTTTTTTGAGGAATTCTTTTCCTAAAGTAAGTTTTACACCAGGTATGCGCAGGTCTGTATTAGTAACACATTGGATCTAATGATGGTAATAGAAATCTGTCGTATTTCAACTGGATGTATTAAGCACCTGTCATTTTTTTTAATATCATGGATGCATGCAATGATTTGCCCTGCGTACAAAATGTTTGCAAGCATATGTTGTAGAGGTGAGGATAAAGGGCACATAGCTTATTATGTAATTACTATGCATATGGAACTGCTGCTTGATTACAGGGAAGTTGTTATTCTGCAATGGCTGTTATGCCAGTGGGCTCATTTTGATGATGCATTCTCTTAAGGTATTAGCTTTAACCTTTGAAGATTTGATTTAATACTGGCTGTGCATCACAGGTGAAGAAATACGTATGCATTTCCAAGTTCTGAGATGGCATTTTTCCATGTGCTAAAGGCTCAGTGCATGTGTGCTTGATTAGCTATTGTTGCTTTACGATAGGTGGCTACACGTGCTTTTGCAGATGTATAGGTTAGCATGTATGAAAAATGTAGACTCTCATTCACCATTTTCCTGTTATATGGCTACTTACAGCTATATCATAAGTCTAAAAATTCAACTTTAATGAAACTATGCTTTGTTTTCTCCCTTTGAAGAATCATACAGTAGTAAATGTGGGGCACAACTGTGGGGACAGTCAGTGGAAGCTTGCCAGGGGCCATATGGTGCTAATGATTATAAAGACGTGTTGTATTGTACAGTCAGGATTTACAGCAGATTATGCATGTATGCAGAGTGACCTTTTATCACTGTAAAATTTTATAACTGCCACATCAATTCATAGAATTATTAAATGTTAAGTTTGTTATACATTGAGAACATTTTGGATACCCTAGGTCTTAAATGTTCTAATATGTCCATCTGCAGCAATAGATTAATACCACATGATGTATTAAGAAGGGGTTACAGCAAAGATTGCCATTTTAAAATCAAGATCAAGATCTGCTTAATTTATAGGAATCAGGAATTGTTATTGTCAGCAAGCACTTGGGTTTTCTGTTGGTGGCATTTGTTGGGTTGTTGGGGATTTTTTGAGATGAAGAAGGCAAATGTATCCTAAATATATATGGCTGTATGCTCTGTATTCATGGCATAGTGTGTTGTGCATAGAAATGCATTAAAGCAGTGGTTGGAATAAACTTATAGCATGGAATATATAGTAAGTTACATGTGAAATCCATCAGTGTCACATGTACAGGTTTACCCCAAGTTACAAAGAAGATCTGGAGAGTTACAGGGCAGTTACGTACATGCACACGAGCATAGGAATAGTGGGTAGACTGTGGTACTCTGAACTTCCATGGCATTTTCCATAGTATCGTTTACATTATTCTAATCTGTATTACATTTGGCCATAAAGTGTGAATGAGTCGGAGAATAAGTCTTAGTCTTTCAGGCAACATTAATATGTGTAAATATCGTCAGCTTCATTTTTAGTTTAATCAACATGATTTACCGCATCATGGAGTTCAGGAAGTAATTGACCATATTACTTTCTTCAGTTACCAAATTACCATTTTTGGGCAGGGTAATGAATCTTTACTTAGTGCGAAGTATTGCTTTCTCTGAAATTATTGTTCCTCATCCTGTCATGCTGCACATGCACGTTTACTGCCAGTTTTATCAGTCCTTCAGGGTTTGGGAACTGGATAACCAAATGCAGCTGGGCCCTTGAAGGGAGGCTGCATCTCCTTTCTTGTGTTGTTTTAGCCATCTCAGGCTGTTTCATCATACCAGCAACCACTACCCCATTGCTCCTATCTAAATATCCTACATAATTTGTATTTTCTTTTTGGCTTTGTCTGTCAGCTTCAGTTGAAACAGATGCCTGTTAGGCCACAATGGCTAGTATGAATTTTGACTTGTGCAGTTCCTGTCCTTCAGTCTAGTGGTGGTAATTGCTGAGCTCCTTGAGCTACCATCTCAAAGTCCTGGTGCTTGGCACAGTTCTGTCACTAGGTTCATGAATTTGAGGTGGAAGATGTTGGCAAAGTCAGCTAGTTGCTACCTTTTATAGTCGAGGTGGAGCTTAAAAGAAAGGTGTTGAAAGTCGCTTACCTTATAATTGATGCATCCTTCAGTCTCCTCATGAGACATTGTCATGTGATCTTGCCTAAGTTTAGGTGATTACCGATTGCTCAGCGGTGTACTCCGTACACTATGAACAAATATCTAATGGAGCATATACTGGAGTGCCATGTCTCTTGCTTGGCAGTGACCCAGTTCTTAAGGCAGCTGAATTAGGACAGTCACAACTGGCTTGGTGTTGAAATATCTTCACATTATTTTTAATGCAATTTGGTGTTTAAAACCTCCAAAATACATCTGAATTGTTCTAAAATGTTCTTCTCATCTTTGCTTCCATAGTACCAGGATACAAATATGCAAGGTGTAGTGTATGAATTGAACAGCTACATAGAACAGCGCCTGGATACAGGAGGGGATAATCAACTACTTCTGTATGAACTGAGCAGCATCATAAAAATAGGTAAGAAGGAGGATCAGGTATCTCTGAGCTGTTACTTAGTATTAGTGCACAGCATATTTCTCATGTGATTTAATTAATAAAGACAAGTATTGATAATGGTGCTTTCTTTGGATGTTTCAGTATGAGCTTACTTTGCCTTCTGTCCCTCAGTGAATTCCTGACTGCACTTCAGTGATTTCATCTTTGGATAGTTTTTTATCAAATTGAAGAATTAGAGCCCCCCATTAAACGAACCAGAGTAGACTGGTCGTGATGGTGTTGCAGTGTCAACATTGAAAGTAAAATAAAACAATCTATTGGTAATATCGCCGCATACTTGAACCCCATTTGAAACAAACCTGAGATGTTACTGAAGGAGAACATGTCTTTTGTGTGATCTCTAATTACATTCAGCTGTTAACCGTTATTTTTTCCATCTGATGTAAATAACCTTTTGTGGAAAGAAAATGCTATACATGATCAAAAGTTTAGAAATAAAACAAACAAACAAAATTTCCTGATAAGAATGTAAGTGTAATTCAGTTTCTTTTTAGCCAGAGTGGATGTACTCAAATTTCAGTAGGAAGTAACAGTAGCTTTGTTCAGTATAGCTCTCAGCTCTTTAGAAAGGTTTTACTGATCCTACTACTTCATCATCTTGTAATGATGAATTCTGGTTTATATACATGGTGATTTAAAAGGACTGCATCTATTTACTGATTTTGCTTAAGTGGTTATTTGGATACTGATGTCTAGCAGACAGCAAATCAGACTGGATTTTGTTAATACACAGCAAACAAAAAGCTATAGGAGACAGGGTCTGCTATCTTTTACAATTTTTTTTTTTTTTCTTTTGTAAACGAGATGAGTTTGGGGTTTTTTTATACTATTTCTTTTCCAGTTCTTGCTTGTCTGGTAGCTCAATATGCTTATGTACTGCATCTGAAGGTTTTAAAAACTGAATGCAAATTACCATGCCCTGAACTCTTACTGCTTATACACAGTTGACAATAAGCAAGTAACTACACAGTGTTTTTTTTTCCTATTGTCAAAGAAATGCAGAAAGCCAGCTGATTTAATCACACACAAGTCTAATCATTCCAATGAAATGTACTAGATGGATTCTTGTGTTCATTCATAAAAAAATGAATATCAGATATGTGCATTTACTGGTTAGAATGTTTATTAACTGTTGGAAAGACAGACAAAGTGTCGAAGTCTATTGTGTAAAGCCAGATAAAATGTCCCTATTCCTCTATCCTCTTCTGATTTTGAGAGTTTTCATTTTAGCAATAAGTTATGATGGGTGGTTGATTTCAAACTTTTGAGATGTTAAGGAACTTGACTTTCCCTGTTTCACACAGCAATCTGAGTCTTTCACAAATCTGACAAATATGAACTTTCTAGTGTCAGTGTTTTTAATATGTGGCAGGTACAGAAAATAGAAACTGTTTGTTTTGAAACACATTTTTATGGCAATATTTGCAACATTTTATTTCGCCATTGTTTTCTGTCCTAGGGGAAAGACAAATATAGCATACCATCTTTGAATGGTATTTATTTTACTCATGGAAATTATAATGTTATCTGGCTGGTTATATTGTAAATGCATATTCTTATGTTACCTCTATACTGTCATATGAATTAATTAAAATTTACAGACGTTAGGCCTTGGAATAAAAATAAGATATTTTAAGACATTTCTAATTATCTTTTAAAATGTAATAAATGACAATGGGGAATATTATCTCATACCTCTAATTTTGTAGAGTCTGGAGAGTTTCAAATGACACAGCAACAGAACTTCACTTTTAGAATTGTAGATGTTTGTCCTAAATGGAACTGAATCTGTGGTTTCACCTCAGAGATTTTGTGTAAGTCCGATTTCCCCCTGGGAGTACAATTATTTCTTTTATTATTGCTTTGGCAGCTACGAAAGCTGATGGATTTGCACTATATTTCCTGGGAGAATGCAATAATGTAAGTACACTGGATGAAGATGCTGCTTTTCAGTAGTTACAAGTGCATTTTCCAATTTGACAATGATACTTTGATTTCATTTTACATGTCATTTAGCAGGAAATATTACCTGAGTGCTGCATAACACCTTTATGTTATCTTTATTTCTGTAAAGTAGAAGCTTATTGAACATACTAGTAGTGAAAAAATGTTTCCAGCATTTAGATCCTTGGCCTTTTACTTTTTTTGTAATGATTTAGGAGTCATGCTGTTGTTACTCTGACTGTTGCAGCTTAACTTGCGATTTAGCCCCGTTATTAATTGTCTTTAACAAACAGAAAACTCTTTGATTTAAACTCTGCATAGCCTGTTCTTTTCATCTAGTTAACTCTGAGGATTTGTTTTTTTGTTGTGTTTTTTTTTAATGCTGTCATATTTTCTGTTAACTGCCAGCTGCAACTTGATAGTGAGAAAATGTAAATTTTAGATGTAGATTTTAGTTAGCATAAAATAAATTGTAATTTTAAAATTTGCATATGAAGTCAGATTGTAGTGCAATAATTTGAATAACAGGGAATCCAATTTTTGCTGTTTTGTTATTTGGCATTTAGAACACATTTAATACTTTTCCTATCCAGAGTGATTTGTACAGTTACCGTTATACAAGACTTTGTAGTTATTTTGATTGGCTATCAAGAAGAAAAAGTAGTTTATACTTGTCAGTTCTGTCCATATAAAAACCACAGTTTGTCAGAAATGTTATATTTTTCATTGGTTCAAGAAACAAACTAAACTCTTCTTACTGAAAAATGATGAGAGAGGAAAATATTTTTCTTACTGTTTTGTTCCCTTACTTTACACAGCCAGCTTTAATAGTTTATTTTTTGTGTAGTCCATTATCCATTTCCTTTGCTCTTAGTGGCATAATTGAATTCAGAAAAAAGGGAAAGAATGACAATTTTGAAATAGTGGAAACAGGATTGAAGATGTACAAACCTGCAGGTGACTTGAGCCTTGTCTGAGAATATTTTTTACTTATTAAAAAACGTATTGCCTCATCTGAAGGACGTAGAAGCCTGCCCATACAGAAATTTCCTAAAAGAAGTGGAAGTGGGTTTTATATGTTTTTCATTTAATGATTATTTCGTCTAATGAAGTCCTGTAAATTGAGTTCTGTAAGTATGTAAATAGCATACATTTTTTAATAACCTTTTGACTGAGGGGTGTAATTCAAGTAACATGTTCACTTGTTGTGAATAGAATCTTCTCATTAGTAGGTGACAGTGTCCGCTGTCATGGGTGGGGGTGATACAGATGGTCACTGGAGCTTCCTTCTGCTGCCAGAGGCAGCGCTTGCTGGAAGTTCAGCCATCTGTGCATGCTCATGTCTAAATGTTTTGTAAAAGATGATAGTAAAATTAACTTTACATCTTGAGACCTAGAGGATTCTTACTGTGGTGAGTTTTTTCCTATTAGATTAGTGTGCCATAGTATGTATGGGTTTCCTCCCAATGTTCCGATGCTTTGAGGGCCTGGGCACTTTATGACCTTCTACATTTTTAGTTTTTGGTTTTTTTTTTTAATAGCCTATTAGGCAGTTGAATCTATTTACTTCCCAGTATAGCTTTCCTGAATAAAGTTCCAACTACTAAAAACACACATTGACTTTATTAACCACTGCTATGTAGCTGCATCTCCCAAAATGGAATGTTCTTCATGTAGTTATTATAGGGACTGATCCTAAGTCCTTTGAAGTTAGTGTGAGATTTTCCATTCACATTAGTGGGCTTTGGGCCAGACTCATATGTTTGTAGTCTTGTAACTAAATGGTAATGCATTAGCCTATTTTCTGTAAGAAAATGTCATTGAAAATTAATTTGGATATCTTTGTCTTTTTGAATATTTAATTTAAAGGATGTGTCCAAGTGAGATGAAGCAAATACCATCAATATATTTTTATTTGCTAAATATGTTTTTTTAAATGTGAGCAAAAAGATACTGTGTAGGATAAATGGGAGAAAGGAGCGAATTCTTTAAGCTGAAGTTCCAAAAGTTATAAAAATCCTTCTCATTAGTCTGGACAAAATAATTGCTGAACACCTATGGCTAGATATTGAAGAACGGCCTCTATTTTTTGCTGGCTTAATTTTTTGATGTTTGGTTTTGTGACTTAAGTTTTGCCAGTTCAGCAAAACTAATTTCCCGCCCCTCCCAATCTTAGCATTTGGCTTTTTGTTTGTTAGCTTGAGAAGTACACATGAATCTGCTGGTATTTATGCAGTCAGCAGCCTCAGGTTGCAGAACTAGACCTGTTGTAACAGTCATTTCCACCATGCTTTCAAAGAAATAATTTGTGCCTGAATACAGCTTTTCTAGAGTGTCTGTGTATGCCTTTTTGAGAATTAAATATTGGAAGGGAATTCTGTAAGAATGGAGGAATCCTGTGAATAAGTAGATACCTACTTTTTCCCAAATGGTTTTCTAATGTTTAGTGATGTGTATTCTGTTTATATTCTGTAAGGGAACTTAGGATCAAAACTGAAGCAAAGGCATTAATTTTACTTCGTTTCAGTTCCTGCTATAAATGTGTGTAGGTATAGTTGTGCTTGTTTAAAGAAATAGAAATTTGGGAATCCTGATGAGTGTTAATCTCGGCTAAGGAACATTTTTGCAATATGAGATTTCCATAACTGCCTTTAGCCTAGATTAAATAATGAGTTTCTGGACAGGATAGAAGATAACTTCCTTTTACAGAAATTCTAGATATTTACAAAATGAAAACTAGCAAATGATTATTACAGTCTGTGTGCTGCTGTTCCTAATATTGAGATAATTGCTATATCGTTTCTGTTTTCTTTTTCATGGGTTACTAAGAATTCATGTAAATTTTTCTTTAGTGCAGTATGTATTATGGGCAGCACTTCCCATACTGAAAACTGAAAATTTGTTTAATGAGAAGAAAAGTTCTAGATCAGCTGGTACTTTTCTTTTTGTAAAACATAGATGAATAGCTGGCTTTTAAAGGAGGACTTTGTTTTAGGAAAAAAACTTGTATGGAGTTTGACAGCACAAATGTGAGTTTTTTGAAATACTTGTCCACATTTTTTTTTTTAATGGACTTATTCTCTTTCTCTCTGTTGAAGTATAGAAAACTATATCTTGACTTTTTTTAGAGTTGGATAACAGCATAAGGACAAGGTAATTTTGGCTGACAGGTTGGGTTGAATGCCTTCAGGATCTTCACTTGGGTGAATTTGCTTAAAATGGAAGATGCCACACCAGTTGCAGGTTACACTGCATTTCTTTATGCGAGTATTACTCAGAATTGGTGCCAGAATGAGTGTGGCAAGTTCAGTGATTTTAGCTACTTTCTGGTTGTTGAAATTGCTTGGAAATGCTAGCACTCTTTGCACTCTTTGCTAAGGGTGTTCTGTTTCTCAAATAATTGCCTACAAGCAGGTAAGTACCACTTCCATGGTCAACTCCTTCCTTCCCCACAGGTTGCTCTGTATGTCAGAATCTTGTTTTGCATATGCTATACATACGGTAGAATGCATTGCAAAATACTCAGGTACTAGAAACAGTGCAGCTTCTGGGCAGACCTATGCCCATACTGGCTCTGGGTCTTGAACTGTCTCTCTGTCTAATAAATCATCTGTGTCGATGGGATAATGCAGTTATGCAAATAAAATTATTTACTTTTAACGTATGTTACAGCTATTTTGCAAATACTATTTAGTGGAGACTGGAAACACTTCCAAAACAAACAGGAATGTTTCACAACTCCCCAGCAAAGGAGTTTATTTCAGTTTTGTGTTTTATTCCTTATGAGGATGAATATATGGTTCATAATTCTCATTTTATGACTTTAATTAAACATAAACTTCAAACATGAGTTAAAGTTTTTGCTGAAATCCTTGTAGTGGATGTAGTGTGTGTGTAAATCAGTTGTTTAAGTATCATGCTAGCTGGGCATGGATTTAAGCGTGTAAGCTGACATCTTTACAAGACAGTATTTCTAAAACACTTCTCACAGCTACAGTTTCTAATGTATTATTATATTATCTGATTCTTCAGATGCTTCTTGCTTAAAGTCCTTACTTGTGTGATCCACCTCATGATTACATTGTGATTCCTACGTAGAGACGCATGACTTTGAATGTAATAGGCATACACTTAAAGTAGCTGTTCCGAGGTCTTGTGTTACTTACTTCCTGAAGCTGCAAATTGTGTTGACAAAGAGATCATCCTTCCTTCAGACAGAATTTTCAAATAGCTTTATTGAAAGAAATAATTATGTGAGGCCACAAATATGTGCACGTACTCTGTGCTTCAGGGTGTATTTTATTAAGCTATTCTAGAATTTCTGCTCATACAGAAATTGTTGCAGCTTGATTTGCAGTGCCACCTAGTGCATTGAGGGGGTGGGTGATTTGAATTACTAAGAACCGAGAAAAAAACGTGTGCCTGCTAAATGCCTCAGGGTCTTGTGCCAGGCTGAGGTGCATTATTTTGAGTATGTAGACATCTTCACTGAAATTTGAGTCTTTTAAACATGTTTCCAGGTGAAAGCCTTCTAGCTGCAAGTCAGTCCAGAAAATCTTGGTCTCTGTCCTTGAATTGATTCTAATATCATGTGCTCTTTATATATATAAAGTGGAAGAAATCTGTTGCTTTCTTACTTGCTCATGGATAATGATAGCAGAGAGGGAAAGCTGTTGCTGAATTATAGTGTCTTGAGTTTGAGTCAATAAATTATCAAACTGAAAGAAATCAGATAAATAACTGTCAATATATATTTTAGTGAAATTTTGTTCTTGTTTCATTTAATATTTGGGTAAGTGGACTTGTGGAATACGGTCATGATGAATATACTCTAGGTAGAATGCAGAACTGATTAGAAGACTAGACAGAGTTTAGTTGCTTGTGTTTCACTATAAGAATACCTGTGTATTCTAATACATATGTGTAAAATACCTGTCAGGAGGTGCTGATGGTATTGTGTTATGAGACTTAAGCTCCTGCTCCTCATCATTTATGAGGATTTTAATCTGCTTCACCTGTCAAGCATTAGAGTTTGAATAGAAAAAAAAAACAAATATGTGGGGCCAGGTTACGACAGGATGGGAGGATGAACATCAGAAATTTTTCATTGCATGCTTTTAGCTGTTAAAAGTGAAGAGTAATGAAGGTTTCTTCAGCCGCAGTAAAAGAGGTTCAAGGTAAATTACTTAATAATTTTGACAGACTATGTGCATGGCACCAAGAAAAGAGCACTAAAAGCCATGGTATTATGGTTTATTGGTTATGTACTAATTTTGTTATGTATCTGAAAGCCAAGTTTGTGTGTTTAGCTGTGAATTGAGAATGCTGTCATGTTGCTATCCCTCAGGAACTGATTACAGTGGACATCATTCTGAACTTATGTAGACTGGAAGACTTGTTAATACATTAGCATTTTAAAAAGAAATTAGAGATTAAATATATGTTTGCCTATACCTAAAGTGCCTATGAAATATGAAAGGGTGAATTTTGTTATAACTGTCTGTGTTCACCAGTGGTTGAACCTTTGTTACGGTTGTTGCAAGTTTTGGATTTTTCTTTTGTTTCAGTTTGGATTTTTTTAAGTACATCTTGCTCCCTGTTGTTATGTTAAGGCCATTAGTGGGTTCCAAGCCACACTGTCACATCAGTCAAAATTCATGAGGTTTTTTTTCACTTTATCAAAGTGAATCAAGAGATGAAACAGGAGGGAAGGAATAATTGTGAAGATTCTGGGCCCAGCTGGAACAGACAGCAGGAAAAGAAGCACCTTGTGCTCGAGGTTCCAACAAGGTATAGGAGGTTTTTGGTGTCAGACTTCAGTGTCCCCTGCCTAAAACTACATTTAAAGAAGTCCATCACCATATGGGACTTGTTGGAAAAAGATTGGTCATAGTGTAGTTGAGCTTCATGTAAATAAGGAGATCTGTCTGTGTTTGGAAACAGGTCAAAATAGGGAATTGAAGGATCTCTTGGGCCACTGTGTTCCAGAATGCATGAACCTGGAAGCTTTCAAAGGGTTTGCTCTGTGAGTGTTTGCTTCTTTTTTTTTTTTTTTTTTTTGGGAGGGGGGAGTTTATCAAGCCCAGAGTGACTTTCTCGCCTTGGTTGCCTTCTTCCTCCTCAGCAGCAGAGATATCAAATTCTGTGTCTACATTAGATATCTATAATTGCTTAACTTTTACCAGTCGATAGATCATGACATTACTGTATCATTAAAGATCTGTTCATGTTTACCTGTTTGTGATACTGACATACATTCTCACTGCAGGTGGTTACAGCAGAGAAAGATACTGTGAGCAGTGCGCAGGCATCCTGCTATCTCCTTTACCTTACTTTATCTGTATAGTGTTTGGGAAATTATGGGACTTTATATTCTCTCATTTCCTTTATTTATTGAATATATATTGTTTAAGTTGTGGTTGAAGCTCTCCTAGTTCTTTATTTTGATTATTAATTGCTGTTAGGTATCACTACCAAAAGTGCAAGCTGTTAGTCTCTTTCTGAAGTACATTGAGATTTCGGAGGAAAAATACCATGCATGTTCAGTAGAGCTGCTCCATGGAAGGAGTGTCTTTCCTTCTAACTGCATGAACATGAAATAAATACGCTCAAATGACTTGTCAGACCTAAAATACTATGTGGCAGCTCTATTTTCTCTTTAAAGGTAGTTTAATTCTCAGCTGTAGCATAATATTAGCAAAGGAATAACTGAATGAAAACCTCTTTTTCTTGTCTTGCTGAACTTTTTGAGGTTGTCTGACTCTCTGTTTAAATAACAGGACAAATATTGACTTACTGGTTTTGTCAGAATCAAGTGTTTTTCCTCACTAAATGAACTCAACTAAATGCCCTAACCATTGGACTACTGGTTTTGCTTGGATAGACTTCACTCTTGTTTTGGCTGTGAATTCTGTACTTTTCTTTGACAATTTATTTTCACCTCAGCATAAAGTTCAACTTCCTCCTTCCAAAATGCGATTCATCCATCACAGCTAATGTACCTTCTTCACCACAGGAGTACCTGCATCTGGTACATTATATTGCATCTCCTTAGTCTCTGAACATTTCTGTATGTTCTTTCTGAAATTGTTTAGTATGTTTTATAGTGTGCCTTTCATGTTTGCAGAATAAAGGAATTATCATTATGAGAGGATGCATCTCAGATCATTGTTTCATTTTCTGCAGCTGACAGTAGATGAATTTTCAGGTGCAAATTGTACCTGTAGTATTCCATGCTAGAAAACAGCCCCTGTTTAGTGATCTACTTGGTCCCATAGGGTCCAAATTGGTAACCGTTGATCTCTGAAGTTTGTCTTCTTTCTTTCACGCTTGAGTTTTCTTCATCTTGTGCTCCATTTGGCTCACTGAGCCATAGTGCAAGGCATTCTGTAGGCTGTGCAGTGAACTGTGAAGTTTATACTCAAATGGTAACTGGAGCCTTAGCTACAATAGCTATATTAATCAAAACTTTTTATTGTAGTTTTCATCTATAAAATGAGGATAACATTGCCACCCAGCTTATAGGGGAGCTGTAATAATGCATGGTTAGTGACTGTGACGTACTTGGAATACAATGGCATAATATTTAAATAATACCAATGCCAGTGTGAAGCTCCCTGCTTACTGCTAAGGCTCAGCTGAAGTCTTACTTAAACAGCTTAAAAGTTCTTCGTTCAGTCTTTCAAAGCAACATTGGTTTCTGAGCTACTGGAATCTGGAGTGCCTGTGCCTCTGCTTCTGTCTATTGTTATAGAAACCCTTGTGAATTATAAACATAGGAGAGAGATTAGTTGTAATTAATACTAATTATCATAACTGTTGATGCTGTAGAATCTTGGGAGCTTGACCCTTGTAGCAGCCCTAATGAAAGCAAAGTCTGATAATAAAAATAATCAGTACAAAGGAGCGGCACATAATGTGGCCTTTCCTACCGAGAATGGTAGTAGTACTTCATATGGTGGCAGTATCATTTACCTGTGGTATTATTTGTGTAAATAATAACAAAATAATAAAAATTTAAAAAAAAATCAATTTTCCTAGCAAGGAATGTTTCATCTTAGATCATATGGTTTAAGGTCATAATTTAAAATCATACAGCTATTTAGCAGTAGAATTACTAACTACAGGTGCTTTCTGTACATGTTCCTGGTCTTAAAAATTTATTTGGTGAAATAAGCTGCATCATTGATTATAGTAAATAAGAAAACACAATCTGCCAATAGAAGGTGGGTCTCTGAGGTGGTGCTTTAGCTGTGTTAATATTAGGAATGTATAAGGAAGGATGGCTCAATACCTTAGGACAGTAATCTGGAGTCTTGAACGTAGAGATTTGATCCCTGCTCTTCTATCACTACATGTAATCTTTGCTGTGTCATTTATTCTTCATGTGCCTGAATTAATTCCCTCTGTGTTTAAAGGGTAATAGCTCTAAGTGCTGAATAGGGTGTGATGGTGGTAAATTTTGAGAGTCTGTGGTCATCTGTAGCTTTAGGAGGCACATAAATTGGTGGATGTAATGAGACAAAGGTAGAAAAATTAAACAGAAGTTGAAACTTCTTGCTTGTAAAATGAATTGCTCCTGCTGATTGCATGGGAGACTGTTTTTTGTGGTTTTGTGATTTTAAAATTAGTTGTCACTAACAGACTATTGCTTTGCAGGTTGTCTGGGGTGGAATGATAAAGGAAAATTTTAAGGAGACTGTGATAAAGACATTGTTTTCCAGCATTTTACTGTTCCATAAAGTTTATTTTTCATCCAAAGATGAGTAAAATTTTAGATTTGAAGAGTGTTTGCCGTAAAGAGGGTTTACAGGTTTGACTTTTATGTTTAGTTTTCTGTTTGTAAAATAATGTTTGCAATCCCATTCATTCTCATAGTGTTATCTTTTTGTTATAGAACAATTATCAGATGTTTCTGGATGAGTTTAATGGTATGAATGTCAATACCTGACAATGGTATGAATTGTCAATACCTGACTTTTCAACAAACGGGACACTTTTAGGCAGGCAGCAAGTAAGATGTTGCTTCTAGTATAGGGGACATATGCAATCACTTGTATTTCAGGAAATACAGTGTTAGGATGATTTAGAAATTAGCTTTCCTTAGGATGAGGTAAATAAGAAATTTAAAGACATCTCTACTTTTTGAGTAATTTCTATTGAAATAAATGAGTGTATCCTACAAAACAAACAAACTAATCTATCTTTCTCTTGCAAGGTAATATTTTCTTTTGTGAGTCTTTATGCGGTGTACTGTGTGTTCAAGGTGCGCACAGTCCAGTTCTGATATGATGACTTGACCTCAGCAGAATAGTTATCTGCTCTCTGAATGGTGACTTTAGAGCAGGATTTCCTAAGATTCCAAAACAGTTAAGTGGAGTTCATCCAACTACTTCTCATTGTCAAAAGCTGTGTTTCTCTATATTACCTCCTTTAGCCAATCCTTTACACTAAGTAGGTAGCACAGTAACTCTGTAAAAGTAACCATGCTTTCTAATTGCATTCTTTTATTTTTTTTCTTTTTTTTTTTCCTTCTAACTAGAGTCTGTGTGTATTTACACCACCAGGAGCTAAAGAAGGACAACCACGGCTCATTCCTGCAGGGCCCATTGCACATGGCACTACAGTATCTGCTTATGTAGCCAGATCCAGAAAAACGTTGCTAGTAGAAGATATTCTGGGGGTAAAAAGCTTTCTTTTTAATGAGATGATTATAGCATGTTTTTAGAATGAATGGTTTAATACTGAAATGTTTATTGAGCTGAATGTATGACAATAGAATTTACATCTTTCTTGCTACCAAGAAGATAAAGCTGAGTTTGGATTGGCTTGATAGAATAATTTCAGAATATCTCATTTATTTTTTTTTTTTTATTTCAATATTTTTTTGGTTGCCAGATAAGGGAAGTAATGGAGTAATAGGACCATAGTCACTTGGAGAGAAAAAGAAAACACCCAAACTGTCAAAACTCCTGTCCTTCTGGTCTTGAAATACTCAGTGTGCTAATCCCAATCAAGATGGCTTCTATACAGTCAACCAAAGTTTGATATAATGCAGAGCTCACACTGACAGGAATGTCAGTCAGAATTCTGTTTATTAGACAGGCTTTTGATCTCTGCTTACACTAATGTAAAGCTACAATACTTAAAATATCGGTAGACCTACATGAAAGGCACACTAATGTAGATGGTATCAAAATCCAGGCCTTTGTCCATAAAAGGGTTCAGAAAGTCCTGAGGTGATATTCTGATAAATCTTGGTACTCTGTATGTCTATCCTTTTCATTTTTTATTTTAAACTTTATGCTCTAGTCACATCTATACAATTGTATAAAACTGGTATTTAAACTGTACTTTATGAGGACGCTTTATGATCAACTGTGTAGGTTATGAGAACACCAAGGAAGTTTAAATTCTTTCCTCTTTTCAGTGTTTTCTGTCCTTTGAGTTCTGTCCAGAAAAACAATCTTTGGATACTGTGGCCAAAATTGCACATTGCTGTCTCTATTTTAAAAAATGTCTGTTACAAAAATGTATGACCTTTATTGGCAAAACTCAGGCTATAAACAAAATACCAAATGCCTAATATAAGTACACTTAAGCAGAACCACAAATGCAAAAGGCAGAAGCCGCTTTTCCCTGTAGTAACAGTGCTTTCTCTGGACTATATAGATTTTATATGTTTCTAGTGTTTTTCCAGTCACATATATGGCTTGTTACTGGCAATTTCCAATTAATATCCTTATATCCTTGTATCAAGGCTTGTATGTTTTGGTTTTACATTCATAATAAACTCGGTGAGGGGGAGGTAGTGAGGAGGGCGTTCAAACTTCATTAGTTTACACTATCAGTGGATTGTTGACTGAACAGGGAGATTCATTTGGGTGACATGGTTTGCCTTCATCTGATTTTAGGAGCATCTCAACATTGTGAGAAAAGTGCTTACAGATAGACTTGCCAGCCATGTCTGGGGGGTGAAGGGACAAAATTAAAACATGGAAGCAGGAGGCTCATGTTGCAAAGTGCTTACCACTCTCCTGTGCCTGTCATTTGTTCCTAGTGGTTCAGATTGATTGTCATTTTAGTAATTAATGTAGAGATTACTTGCTGGGGTTTTTTTTAAGAAAGAAGAGATTTTAATCAGCCTTGAAGGAGTATCTGTCTTAGCTAAACACAGCCTGTGGGGAACATCTGGTGCAAATCAAGTACTGAAGGACTGATGTTCAACAAAGTGGGTCTCCCACATTTCACATCAGCTAGTTACTGCCTTAGTAATTGTAACATCCAGGTGGTTTCTCGGGTGTTTGTGAGTTTTCCTACATGGGGAACTAAAGCTTTGGACATTCCCTGTGTAGATTAAAAGTTATGAATTTGGGCCTTTTATAGCAGCTGGTAGGATTATTTTGCCATTTGTTCTTATAACTTTTCCAATGGTTTATTCAGGATACATAAGCAAGAGGAGGAAGATTCTTACTCTCAAGTATAATTTTGGGGGACACATTTTCCTCCTCAGTGGTTGGTTGAGGGTTGTAACTTTGTATAACAGAAAGCCTTAGACTGAGGTTTCAATTTTTGTTCTCTTGCAAGCGCTGCTGTCTCCTTCAGAACCCTGAAATCTGAACAGTCCACTTGATTACAAATGCTTTGGGTTTTTTTTTTTGGGAAAAGGGAAGCGGATGAGGTCATGTTGTTAGTTTGGGTTTTTACTTAATCTGGACTGGTATTAGACTGGTTTGGCTGCCTGTGAGATCAGAGAAAATGTATTTTAAAAACAAACCTAAAGCTGCATCCAATATCACAGCTAATTCTGACTTTACATCAATAAGGTTACCTGTAAATGTAAATTAATGCTGACTTTTTATAGCTTTTTTTTTGTAGATGTCTTAATACTGTCTGTAAATTGTGCTAAGAGGTTTAGTGAATTTTACCATTTTCCTGCAGATTTGATCAGCCAGGAGGGGGAGAAAAATGTCAGTGTATCTTTCATGTTAATGTTGTGACAGTTACGTTTTATCACTTTATGTTTACATTTCCTAGGATGAGCGATTTCCCAAAGGTACTGGACTGGAATCAGGGACACGTATCCAATCTGTTCTGTGTTTGCCAATTGTCACTGCAATAGGTGATCTAATTGGTATCCTGGAGCTTTACCGTCACTGGGGCAAAGAAGCCTTCCACCTTAGTCACCAAGAGGTGAGCTCATGTCTGGCCTTTTCCCACTTCCCCGCAATGGTCAGCACTTCAGGATCCCCGTTCCCCTGCAACGCTCTTCTCTCACTCCTTTCATGTGTTTTGTACTTTTTTTGTACTTGATTGATAATGTTATTTATTGAAAAATAAAGCAGTGATTTGTATTCTCAAGAGATAAAATGAACATATTCAAGTACAAGAACACAGCAAGAATTTTGCCTTGTGTTCTTTTGTGGCAAAATGAGTTCAAGATTGCTTTATTGATTGTAAACTCAGTGCAGAGTTGTTACAGAAGTTTATGCAGGAGCAGGCGAATGAAATATAAATGTAAATCAAATGTCAAAACCCGAAATAACTTCATGTAAAAAGGATGCTGACAAGTTATCCCAAGTCTCAATTTTAATTTTCCAGCAAGGCTTTATTTTGCAGTATGGAAAGATTTGGGTTTTTTTTAGTGGTCTTTTTTGGTGTGGCTTCCCAAGTGAAGGAGCCCTATTGTAAAACGTAATGTTGCAACATTGTAGCACAGTGTAGTAAGTCTCAATCCTAGGGAGGGGAAAGTGATTTTATTTTAGAACAGAAGAGAAGCAAAGAGATTTCATGTGTTTGTATTCACATTCTTAAACTTACAGACACCAAGTTGTATGTGTCCAGGAATCACACACAGAGATGCACATAGTCTTTCCAGGGCCTTTCGCTGAATGCTGGCTGTTGAGTCCTTATGTCTCATGGTTTCTTCCTAGGTTGACAGCCATGTGCTGGTTTTGGGTCAGCCTTTTCTTTAGCTTTTATGAGCTGGCATCTTCTGTTTCTCTAGCCTATACTATCTTTTTGAGTGTCAAGATTTATTCACTGTACTTTGTTTCCTGACCTAGATGTCCTTAGAAACAGTATGTGGATGACCTACTAATCTAGGTGCCATTCATAAAGCTCTCTTCTGACTTTTTTTTTTCCTTCCTTCTGAAGCTTTTTCATCCCAATATTCATAACCATCTTACCATTTCCATGACTGTGCTTTACGCTGCATGGTTTATTGTATTTTTATAAGGCCTGTGTAACTGCTTTGCTTATATGTGTCCATTTATCAAACCAAAGTTATGAGTTGTTAGCCAAGTACAAACAAATCTGCTAATGGAGAAGATGTCTCAAAGGCTATCACTGTATTAGAAGTGTTGTAAGTGCATCTTGGTTCTTGTGTCTGGGTGAGGATCCTTGTTATGTCCCGTCTACACATTAAGAAAGTTCATACATTAGGACAAATGTAGCATTCTTTTCTCTCTGTACCCTTCCCCAGAGAAGGGAGCCTGAACACAGAGATTAGGACAAAATGGGGTGAGTTCTAGCCATGTCTGTTGTCTCGACAGTGGTACTAGATGCACCATGGGACCATGTAGCTGGGCTGAACAGGAATTATTCTTGTGAAAAGAACAGAAAATGTGCAGAAAGAGACAGTAAAACCAGCCCTTCCAAGAGAGGAAAACCTAGCAATACTTGTCAACCGTATATTCCATTTATCAGTAACCTGAGTAGCCTAGCATACATGTGATGATCATACATGTGTGTTAGTTGGGCAGTCAGTGTTGCTTCAGCCTCAGTGTTATACCTGATATTTTTCTACCAGATAAGTAGAGGTCATGGTAAGGAACTGGATTAATATGATGGTGACAGTGTCCCTGCTCCCAGAGCAAACAACAGGTATTCATACAAAACCAGGCTTCATTAATTCTCCTGCTTATATACAATGTTTTTATTTTTAAAAATTGTTTTATTGCATTAATCAATCTGCAGTTCAGGTAGGTCTCAGACATGCATCGTTATGTGTAAATATGTGTCTTTTCTGCCATGTGAAATACCATCTGTAACTGAAGTTCATGAATGTACTGCTAGAAAAAGACTGGCTGCTAAATAGAAGTATTTTATTAGTAAATTTTAAAAATTTAAAGGTCACTTTCTGAGTGTTCTAAAGCATTCTTTTCATTTTCAGGTTTCAGAAAGTCTTTGGATACCATTAGCAGTTTTTATAAAATGAGTACAATGTGTTCTGTTTTGTGGTGGGGGAAGTACTTCAGGAGGGTATGCAGCAGCAGCCCTCTTGTACTTATGTCCTCTGTGTTCCTATAAAGCTCCCGTGTTTCAAGGACAGGAGATTATTCATGGTAGCGCATCTTAGTTAACTGCAGTTTACATGCCATTTGTTTGAAATGTTGCCTGGAAACTGTCATACTTAAAACACTAGTCTTGGCTGAGGGATCAGGTCTGGTTCTTCTGCCACTGAAATGGTAATGATTGAATCAGTGCCTGTTTGCAGCTGGAAATAGCTGTGGCTCAAGAGATACAGCCCCAGAAAGCTGTTGTGGGATATTTTATTTCTATGGCAGATGCCTTTCAACAGTGTACATAATGTAATTTTTAAAGCCCTTGGCTTATTAGACGTTTATTTTGATGTTGTATTTCTGAGCTGATGGGTTCACAATACTGCTTCTGAAGAGCATTTGTAAGCATTTTCTGGATACTGATTTTGTGACTGAATGCGCCTTACTAAAATTGAAACACTTGCAAGTATACTGAGACTTCCACAAAATAACCATCTTCCTGAAGCCTGTCTAAAACAGCTCAGTCAATTTACTTAGCAGCTGGATGGGAGAAGACAAGAACATTTTTAAGGTTTCTTCAGAGTTAGTTTCTTCTCTTTTGTTTCAGGTTGCAACAGCAAATCTTGCATGGGCTTCAGTAGCAATACATCAAGTACAAGTAAGTGTGAGTGTTTTTTAATTTTTTTTATTGTGTAGCCCTTCTGCCAGAACTTGACTAGCAGGAACATGGATAATGATCAAATTTAAGTGGAGGTTACTATTAGAACATTGATTCAAGCCCTTCCTTGAACGTGGGAAAGATACACTAACATTTCAGTGTTCATTATGCTGGTTTTCCTCCCTTGCAACTGTGGATCAAAACAAAGACAAAACCCCAAACCAAATCCTTAACAAAGCAGTTAAATAATTGTTAAAGCAGAATTATAACACCTTTGCAGATTTTTTTTTTTTTAGGGAACTGCTAGGCTAACTGGTTGCTTTTCTTCTGATTTGGTAATCTGTTTGAGATTATTAGGTGCTGCTGGCTAAGCCTGCTTTAAGCAATCCTTACTAGCTGCTTCATGGGCCTGTAACTACTCCCACGAAGGATGCTACATGCTGTCCATAGTCGGGTGCTTAATGAAGCTCCACACAGTGCAAGCTGCTCTAGTAAACCCCAGCAGCTTTGCTAATAGGTTTTATTACTTCAGCTAATAGAAGACAGCAACTCTGACGCAAAACATATTCTGTCAACTCACAGAAGATGCCAAAATAGATTCTTCTGTCAATTTGCAGGAAGAAATTCATGGCATGCTTTTTTTCAAGGTGTCTTTCATACATTTGACAGAAGACTTTCTGAAAGCTTCCTGCTTTGCTTTTCTAGGGTCTGGTATTCAGTGCTGAAAGTCATTAACTTTGGGATGATCATTCAGCCAGTTTTACTTAGGCAGAACTAGCTGGCATATACTATTGTATGCCAGTAGAATTATGTGCAGTTGTAGCTTCACTTCATGAAAATGACTCCTTCTTAAACCAAGAAGTCTTTCACACCTAACAAAATAAGGCAAGTTTAGTTTAAGCCTGTTCAGTGGTCATTTTTATTTCATAGAATCATAGAATGGTTAGGGTTGGAAAGAACCTTAAGATCATCTAGTTTCAACCCCCCTGACATGGGGAGGGACACCTCACAGTATTTGTCTCCCTTCTGCTAAGCAGAAGGCTTGCCTTTGTTCCCTGACTTTTTGCTTAAGAAGAATGCAAGAGTTTTGATCTGGCGTTGGGCTGTACCTGACTCAGCTGAGCTTTAGGAAGTAGTTGATGTCAAGACTTTGTACTTAGGTTCCTAATTACATGCATGAGTAAGGCTTGTGGATGTATTTTACCGTATTTTGCATGTTTGTTTATATCTGCATTGCACAGATGAAAGACACTACTAGTTCTGAACAGTATTTATTTATGTGTAAGGTACAAACAGTAGAGGCTTGTGTTCTTTTTTTGACCCCTGTGCTTGCTGTAGTAATCTACAGGTGTGCAATTCTACTTAGATACGAAGTATGCAATTAGGTGAAGTAAAAATGCAGTTCAGAGCTTTGCTTAATCTAACACTTTGCTTCTAAAATGCAGTATACTTACTGGGTTTTGTGTTCATATTCATGCTGATTTTTCCCAAAGTTGACCATGTATTGTCTGCTACTTAGTTTACTTAAATTTGCCTGGTGTCAGTCTTCAGTTTCTACTTTGTCAGTCTGCAGTTGCTACTTTGCAACCTGGAAAAAAGGGTAAAAGTATGGTAAGGAAGAAAGCACGTAAAGTATTTGACGTTCTTAGAAGAGCTGAGTGTCTGGATAAGGAGGTGTCATTAAGTTGATTCTATAACTACGTTCAGTGGCAGCCTTTGAGGCAGCATGAACAAGTGTAACAGCCAACATCTTTTTGAAGAGTCATAAAAAAGATGTTGCTTGCATTTAATAGTTTTAACTCAGCAGCTAAATAGCTAAGATTGAAGCCCAGCACACAAATCAAGCTTTTAATTTTATGCAGTGCTGTAACATAACTATATACTGATAGTGGTATTTTTCATACAAACTAAATGGGTAGAGCATGTGACTTCAGTTTCATTCTGACTTCAGTGTTCTTCTGGAGCAAATGCTAACGTGATCTGTGCTTCCAGGTGTGCCGGGGGCTGGCCAAACAGACTGAACTGAATGACTTCTTGCTTGATGTATCAAAGTAAGTGTGATTTGCACTATAATCTCATTGATTTAGTTTATGAGATTTTCTAACATGGCTTTTCCAGTCTACCTGTGTTTTATACTGTAGCTCACAAGCAGGTGTGAAGGCACATGTTGCAAGGTGTGAGTGGCAGTGATACATACATGTTAAACTTTTTTTTTGGTGGTGGTGCATCTGATTATATCTTACAGAATTTTTTTTTTCTTGTGGTGTTTTAGAATCATAGAATAGTTAGGGTTGGAAAGGACCTTAAGATCATCAAGTACCAACCCCCCTGCCACGGGCAGGGACACCTCACCCTAAAACATGTCACCCAAGGCTTTGTCCAACGTGGCCATGAACACCGCCGGGGATGGCGCATTCACAGCCTCCCTGGGCACCCCATTCCCATGCCTCACCATCCTCACAGGAAAGAATTTCCTCCTTATATCCAATCTAAACTTCCCCTGTTTAACTTTGAACCCATTACCCTTTGTCCTATCACTGCAATCCCTAATGAAGAGTCCCTCCCCAGCATCCCTATAACCCCCCTTCAGATACTGGAAGGCTGCTATGACTGCACGCAGCCTTCTCTTCTCCAGGCTGAACAGCCCCAACTTTCTCGGCCTGTCTTCATACAAGAGGTGCTCCAGTCCCGTGATCATCCTTATGGCCCTCCTCTGGACTTGTTCCAACAGTTCTATGTCCTTTTTATGTTGAGGACACCAGAACTGCACACAATACTCCAGGTGAGGTCTCACAAGAGCAGAGTAGAGGGGCAGGATCACCTCCTTCGACCTGCTGGTCACACTCCTTTTGATGCAGCCCAGGATATGGTTGGCTTTCTGGGCTGCAAGCGCACACTGCTGGCTCATGTTCATTTTCTCATCGATCAACACCCCCAAGTCCTTCTCCACAGGGCTGCTCTGAATCTCTTCTCTGCCCAACCTGTAGCTGTGCCTGGGATTGCTCCGACCCAGGTGTAGGGCCTCGCACTTGTCATGGTTAAACTTCATGAGGTTGGCATCAGCCCACCTCATAAGCATGTCGAGGTCCCTCTGGATGGCATTCCTTCCCTCCAGCGTATCAACTGAACCACACAGCTTGGTGTCATAGGCAAACTTGCTGAGGGCGCACTCAATCCCACTGTCCATGCCAGCGACAAAGATGTTGAACAAGACTGGTCCCAACACTGATCCCTGAGGGACACCACTCGTTACTGGTCTCCAGCTGGACATTGAGCCATTGACCACAACTCTGTGTGTGCAGCCATCCAGCCAGTTCTTTATCCACCTATCCATCTATTAAACTGATGTCTCTTCAATTTAGAGACAAGGATGTTGTGTGGGACAGTGTGGAATGCTTTGCACAAGTCCAAGTAGATGATGTCAACTGCTCTACCCCTGCCCATCAGTTCCATAGTCCCATCATAGAAGGCCACCAAATTGGTCAGGCAGGATTTCCCCTTAGTGAAGCCATGCTGGCTGTCACCAAGCACCTTGTTGATTTTCATGTGCCTTAGCATGCCTTCCAGGAGAATCTGCTCCAAGATTTTGCCAGGCACAGAGGTGAGACTGACTGGACTGTAATTCCCCGGGTCATCCATTTTCCCCTTCTTGAAAATGGGGTTATATTTCCCTTTTTCCAGTTGTTGCGAACTTCACCTGACTGCCATGATTTTTCAAATATGATGGCCAGTGGGTTAGCAACTTCATTCACCAGCTCCTTCAGGACCCACAGATGGATTTCATCAGGACCCATGGACTTGTGCACGTTCAGATTTTTAAGATGGTCTCGAACCAGTTCCTCTCCTACAGTGGGCCCAAGGTCTTCATTCTCACAGTGCCTGCATCTGCCTTCCAAGACTTGGGTGGTGTGGTCAGAGCCTTTGCCAGTGAAGATCGAGGCAAAGAAGTCATTCAGAACCTCAGCCTTCTCCAAATCCTCTGTAGCCAGTTCTCCCGAGAGCTTCTGGAGAGGACCTCTGTCCTCACTAGTCTGTCTTTTATTCGCTATGTAACCTATAGAATCCCTTCCTGTTATCTTTAACATCCCGAGCCAAGTTTAATTCTAACTGGGCCTTAGCTTTCCTATCCTGGTCCCTAGCTTCCCGGACAACATCCCTGTATTCTTCCCAGGCCACCTGTCCTTGCTTCCACATTTTATAAGCCTCTTTTTTCAGTTGAATTTTCCTCAGGAGCTCCTTATCCATCCAAGGAGGTCTCCTGGCCCTCCTGCTGCATTTCCTTCTAGTTGGGATGCAACACTCCTGAGCTTGTAGCAGGTGATCATTGCATTATCAACCAAGAGTCTTGGGCCCCCCTGCCCTCTAGGGCTGTATTCCATGGAACCTTACTAAGCAGGTTCCTGAAGAGGCCAGAGTCTGCTCTTTTGAAGTCCAGGGCAGTGAGCTTGCTGCACTCTCTTCTCACTGTTCTGAGGATCTCGAATTCGACCATCTCTTGATCTCCATGGGTTTTTGCCTGTGTTTCCCCTCTTCTGTCAGAGTTAAACATGGCCCTCTTTTGAGAAGTGAGAAATAGGATTGCCATCTCTTTTGATGGTGAGTTTTAGAAGGCTTGAAAGGACTTTATGAAAAGTTACTTAGCTTGCTTCAGCTTCCTCCGCCCTTTTTGTGATATGTAGGTATATACACACATTCATAAATACACACACTTCAGGAATATACCTGAAAATTCAGGGCTGCCTGATTCTTCACAATTGTTCTTTCCCTGCATTTTTAGATGCTCTGTTTTTGTTTTCAAAGACTAAGTGCATGTACTATGTTTTCTTTCAATTTCTTGTCACAATAAATGCAAGATTAAATTGGAAACACAAAAAAAGCATAAAAGCTTGGGCTTAGACTTGCAAAGTCAGTTTAGTGTCTTAGGTTATCTGCTCTTCTTTCATTCCTTTTTCTTTGTTGCTGCTATTAACGTCTTTAAATAGTAGATATAGCCAATAAATTAAAAGACAAGCCAGAGTTGTACTTTTGGTAAGTCAGAGACTAGGGTGTTTAACAGCATTTTATCTAACTAGTTGGTTGAAGAATTTCTAAGTGCATCACAGAGGACTGATGATACTATGGAAAAATGAGATGTCTTGAATTTTTGCTGTTACAAGCACTTCTGTGGGTCATGATGAACAATTCTTGAGATTATGAGATTAGAAGACATCCAAGATTCCTATGCCATTGCTCAGGAATGCAGGCAGCCTGACCCCGCTGGAATGGGGAGTGATACGCCGCAGGGAGGAGTCTACCCCTTGCAAGGACAGCAGGCTGGTTGTATCCAGATGTTTTTCCTAGCTTTTTTCCTCAGGGATGGCCTTTTTTTTTATTTCAGCTTCAGTTCGGAGTGTGTCTCTTAAAGGACACTCTCAGCATTCCCTTGCCAGAGCTACCCTCTTGCTGCAGTGTTTTGCACCATTATGATCCTTTCCAGGGTACTCTTGTGTTGCTAATGCCTGTACTGAGCTAGTTTACCAGAGAATTCTGGATTAATCTGCCCAAATTTATGGACTTTCAATTTACTCTTGGTATGTAGTACCAAGATCGTTTTAAAGGCCTTTGTAATTATTTTAGTCATTCAAGATAAAAAAACACAATAAATACTGCAAATATTTAATATGTATTCCTATAAGAAAATATTTTGCATAAAGTATTAGAAATTCTGGAATTATTTAGTTTTAACAAAAAAGAAGCCCAATGTTTTGAGCAACAAAATTGGGATATCATTTAGTAACAACTTTATGAACTTCTTGTAGGTAAAGTCTTGCACTAACGAGAAAATACTCCTCTTAGAAATGGTCTGTACTTTTTCTTACATGGAAAGAGACTTTCCTTTTCAGTAAGGAAATTGTTAGCATGCAATGTCACTGGGACATGTTCTGTAACATTTTAGAAAGGGCATAGCATGCAGTGCTCCACTTCTTCATGTCCCTGACAGTGTGAGACTAGCATATATTTCCTTTCCACTAGACCCAAGCAGAAGTGAGCTGTAAATATGTTCAAGGCCATGAGACAATATCTTTCTGTCTGCAGGGAACATTGTAATCCGAGGGCTATTAAGACTTGGCATTTGCAAGGTTTAGACTTCTTTTACTAATAAGTTTGACCTTTCCCTTTCAATGTTCTTGCCTGTCCTTGGACAGTTACCGCTTTGCTGTGAAACTGAAATACCTTATTCTTCTTTTTTTTCCCAAATCACAAGATCAGTCTTTTTCTGCAACTTCAACATGCTACACCTGGCTTGACAGAGAAGACTCAATAAGAGCTTTCTAAGTTGTTGTCTTTTAAATAGTGTTAAGAATTGTATAATAGGATGTAAATTTAGCTACAATACATAGTTTCCATTAGTTCTTGGTACATAGTCCTCTATATGTGAACCTAATGAGATATTTTGAAAGCATGCAGGTAATACAGTAAGCAGTGACAGAAATGTTTTCTTTAAATCTTTTTGATTGCTTTTCTTTTCCTTTTTACTTGTCCTTTTAGAATTACCAGTGTGTAAAGGGTGCCAAAGCATTTTAATACATTCTTAGTGTTGCTCAGCAGGGGCCTATTTAATCAATGGCAGGCAGTTTGCTAGTTTTTTCTACAGACAGAATACTACATATTATGGAGAATATGCTACAGTTCTGTCATTGTACAATAGTGACCTAAAGAAACAGAGCTAGAACCTTTTCTCAGTTCCATTGTGTTATAGCAAGCCAGTCAGTGATTTTCAAGATGCAGAAGTTTGTCTTCACGTATTTGTGCTCCACTGTTAAGCGGTTGTGACACCAGAGCCCAGAACAGCCATTTGAGAAGTGTTTGCCTAAATGCCAATATTTACTAACTCCTCTTTCTCTGCAGAACATATTTTGATAATATAGTTGCAATAGATTCTCTACTTGAACATATAATGGTAAGTTGTCTTTTTCACTTCTAAGTTTATTAGTTATTAAAGTCCTTCATTCTCCTTCCCTTCAAGTAAGACATTGCATCGTTGAAATATATGAGCTCTTTATGATGGACATGTAACACAAACAGTATTAATATCTCTCTATGGAAGAATGTGGCAGAGGCCAGCTTGATTCATTTCACAGTTTTCATAACTAAAGAAACATGACTGTCTCTGAACTAAATCATTATTGTATTTTAGAGAAGGTTTGAAAATTGTAACAAAAAAGCTTCTGTTTTTATTTCAGCTTGTTGTATTGATTCCTTTTTCCTAAATTCAGTTTGCTACATGCTACAAAACACTCCTTAAGAAGTTACTGTCTGGCTAGGAAAGACTAGAGGTCAGACATTACTCCTAGAGTGTTTGTACTGGTTGCTGAATGAGATATGCAAGACATGACATTCTTTTTACTTTGCAAAGGTGGCTGCACCCATAACTAGAGTGACAGAGTCAGTCAGTATTTTATAACAAATACCCCACTAAACCCAAGTCTGTTGAAATAACTGCTTCATGAATTAAAGAACGGTTCAGAAATAGATTATGTTTCTGAAACAGTTCAGAGTTATTTCCTGGATAGTGCTTACAAATACATATGGACTGGTTGCTTATAGCATGTTTTGATTGTTTGGTACATGAGTTATGCTTTTTAGTTTTAGGAGCATTCATTGCATAGTTATTGTTTTTCATTAATGTAAATCTTCATCAGCTCTGTGATACCATTGTTCCAGTTTGTGTATTCTAAAATTACTCTCCAACAGTACTCCAATACATGCTCCAATCTTCAAAGTGATATTCTTAGCCAGACTATTCAAAACCAAAAAACTTAGAATGCAAACAATATTGAAGTGGTTTTATTTAGAAACTTGAATTAGTAATGGAAAATATTCTGTAGTGTTTGTCTTATTCTAGTTAGTACACAGTCAAGAATTCTGCACACAGGACACATTTCTGAACGTTGACTTTTCCAATTTAAATGAACTGCTTAAAAATAACATTTAAAAGAACTGGTATAATATAACATATGGCATTGAGAACAAATATTGATATTCTTCCCTATTCTTTCACTATGAATAGGGGTCTGGTGGAAAACACAGTTGGCAATAAAATATGCTTACTCTTCATCTTCTTTTCCATGATTCTGCATTTTAGCCTCTGTAGATGTTTTATACTCGACTTCCTTTGTAAGTTGTAGCAGTTGGCTCTTTCTTGGGCCAATTAATTGAATTACATGTTTGCACATTATTGCCATTTTATAGGAGTGTGATTTTTATCATTATGTGGCTTATTCTATGTCTCACAGTGAGAAAAGAGTAGAATCCAATTTTATCTCACTACTTCACCCTTTAGTGATTGCACTTAAAGTTTTATTTGTTCTTGTAATAATAAGTACAGGGATTTTAGCATTCTTTTTAATTTTCATTAAGATGTCTCAACACAGATCCACTTCAGATCATGCTCTACCATGCAGTTACTGTACTTTCTGAGCAGATAAGGTACATAGGAGACATCTGAATTTGATAGAGCAGGTTCTTGAACCTGACTGGTATCCTAAGTTAACACAATGATCCTTGTTCAGCTTCAGTTCACTCTTTCCCCTTGTTCTCAGTCCGTTGTATGTTGAAACATTTCAGTGAAGAGCTGCTGTGTTCTTGAGATGAGATTCTGTTCTGATAACCAGTGGTGGCTGCCAGTTGGTTTTGCTAAGATGAAACTAGTTGTTTCAAAGCATGATAGATACTGTGCAAGTCTTGCTGTATTGTGGAACTTCCTTAACTATGGGTGATACCTTAATGGGCTTTGGTTAGTTCATGTAGTTCAAGTTTGAGGTTTTGTGAAAGAGCTGGCACTGGCATTAAGAGAGCACAACCATTTCCTGTTCTGCTGCACAGAATAGGGCAATCCACAAAGGCACTTCTAATCCTTCCTATTTGTTCGTTGTTATGTATTACAGGCAAATCTAGCTTTTTTAGAAACAAACACTAGCCACTACCTTATGTCGGTCTTTGCTGAGTATTCAATACCAAAAAGCCAAAAATATTCTTACATCTTGCTATATCCTATCTATTTAAATCTAATAAAGATAAATAATGTCTAAACATAGAGGAAGGGGTGTTTTTTCTTCTTTTTCCTTTTAGTGAACATTCAAGCCTCTAAAGATATTCCTGCAATTCTTAGAGAAGAACACTCTAATTTACAAAAAAGTACTGAATAGAAGAGACACTTTCATTTGGAACTGTGTCCTAAGAGATTGCTCTGAAGGTGGATGCTCCTTCAGATTTTCATACTGGATAATTTCTCCAAGCTTGTAACTACTGAGGAATTACATTTTTATCAGATAAATGACTGAAGATAATCTAACTCATGGCCATTAACTCTAGCTTTCTTTTTTGTCTGTAGATATATGCAAAAAACCTGGTGAATGCAGACAGGTGTGCACTCTTCCAGGTTGACCACAAAAATAAGGAGCTGTATTCAGACCTTTTTGATATTGGAGAAGAAAATGATGGGAAACCTGTCTTCAAGAAGACCAAAGAAATAAGGTAAGAGTAGCTGGCAGAAGAATGCAGTTTCGTTGTAACTACAGATGTGCAGGCATTTTATTACCCAGTCTCTGTGCCTATCTGCAGGTACCCTGACAATACTTGTCATACTGTGATATCATTCCCACCAGGACCCGCCTCCAGAAGGTAGTACTTCTGGGAATGACATTGCAGTGCCATCGAAACAACGTCTCTGAAGCTATAACGTCACTCCTGGAAATGCCGTCTTCCGGAGGCGGTCCTTTTGGAAATCATGTTGGGAAAAAAACAGAGGTGTTCTGAGGTAGGTAAAGGTGCAGGTAAAGGTGCACCTAATCCATAGTCTGCCAGTTTGGGACTTTTTTTCCCAAGAGGAATTGAAATTTGTGCTATTCAAGCACATCCAAAGCAAGGAAGTCACAATTTATACTTCTTATGGATGGATTAGGCACATGTAGACTTTAGTGTGGACAGGTCATTAGTTTTGAAGATTATAAGTCCAGTAATTTAGTTTTACTTCTTCTCATGTGAATTCATTTTCAAACATTTAATTAGTTGTGATTCTGATGTATGCTTGAAATGGTGGATTTGAAAATGTGTATGGGCTTGAAATGAGCACACAGGATTCTCTGCCTAAAACTGATGTGTATTTCTGCTTCATGTTGCAAGTACAACATTTTCACACATTTTAATGCACTTTTTTAATGAAAAAGGCAAAACAACGTAAATATAATATTTTTCACTTTTCTAAAATTATGAATCCTTAATAGATACAGGTTGACACATGCACCTTCTTAAAAAGGAAGACATTTATGACTAAATATCCTGCACTAAAATTTTGTTAAAATACTCAGCACAGATTTTTCTCAGATTTTTTGTTATTTTCTTCTTATACATTTAACGTTCTAGCCCTGTATGAGATGTGATTCATGTCTTCACTTAGACTCCTTTAGACAAACTTACTCCCACTTACTACATTGTGTGAGTGAGAATGGAAAGGAGTCAAAATTGGTGCAATTTACATACTGACAAGTAAGGAGGTGGTGTGAATTAAAGAAGGTGACCTGCTTTAACATGCACTTCATAATCCTCCTTGATAATTGTTTTATTTTGCTTATATCTCTCTCTTTTCTGTGTGAACATTATTGAAATGTTAACTCTGAGTGCAGAGGTGTGAGCCATTTCACTGGTGCTGTATACTGAAGTACAACTTAAGTATGTGTAAGAAAATGACTCTGAGGCAGTCAGTTATCAGCCTTAAGTTGGTGCCATGTAGTAGCCAGCAGAAGAAACAAACTTAAAATCAGATGTGCAGGTGAAATCCTCCCTGCTTTGTCAGTAGCTTCAGTGGGGGCAGGATAATGTCTGGGTACATTTAGATTTAAAAGTGTTACATGTGTGATTCTTTGTGCTTATTTTTCTCCACAAATTCTTTTGTGCTTATATGTCATAACTGTTTTATGTCAAAGAATTGAAAATTATTTCCTCACAAGACAGACTTGTAGACTTTTCTGATTCAACTCCAGAATATGTTGTGTTTAACTTTCTTGGGATAATTAAGGGATGAAGTTAGTACCATGGCATTGTTTGCATGTCATGAGATGAAACAAGCTAGTTAGTTTGAAGTATATGGGGGAAACACATGTAATATTTAGCTTTGAAGTTTCTGCTGGTCTTTTCCCAAAGTTTATTTTACCAAATCAACCTGCCCACCCCCTGAGGAAATAAGCTCATATTGCCAATGATATGTCTAAAGAAACAATAAATATGTAAAAGCAATGAGGAAATTAGTAGCTTGTAAAGGTAAACACAAATCTCAGGTTATGTACAACTGTCATGTTTGTTAGGCATAACAACGTGGTTGAAGACTTGGAATTTTTGTCACTAAAATGGTCATATTATGGCATCTTTTGTATTAAACTGTGTAGCTATATAAAATGTTTTCAGAAAGTATCTGTTAGTATGTGCTTTTTTATTTTATCATTTACTACTAGCTGTTGTCTTGTAAGTTTTTTCTCCTGAAAGCATCAAAATGACGCTGGTTGGGAACAAATATCCATTACCGTGCCCAAGACAGACGCTTTTCCAGGTAGCTCATGTTGTGGCTAACGCACATTTTCATTTTCTGCAGATTTTCTATAGAAAAAGGAATAGCTGGTCAAGTGGCAAGAACTGGAGAAGTCCTTAACATCCCTGATGCCTATGCAGATCCACGCTTTAACAGGTAGGACATTATTCATAGGAGGGGAAGACAGCTCACCCCACCATTTACTTAAATTTACTACTTGAAATTTCTTATTAGGATGCATTCATGGAGCTGTGATCTTCTGAAGAACAGACAACCTATAAATATTTATTGAAACGTTTTAGCCATCAAAGATATTTTAAAGATACAAATAAAAAGAATTATTTTTATCAAATCTAAATCTAATGGAATAAAATTTAGTTATTTTTCCTATTACAGTTTTTTGCCCAGCTAGGTAGACTGTTGCTGATTTTCTTCATTAGCCTCCCTGTGACCTGATTAGTTTCAGGGGAAAGAGAAAAAAAGTTTACTAACAAATAACATGCCTAAGTACGTGAATATGTTCTTTAAATTTATGAGTAAGCTGACTGTACATTTGAGGAAGCATTAATTCTTTATCTTGCAAATGGAAATTAATGGATTAGAAAGTTCTTTCTAAATATGACACATTAGATGGAAATATTTGAGAACTTTGGAGGTGAACTTGTTTCAGGTACTAATCGCATCTACTTTAAAAGCTATTTAGTATGTTGTACATCAACACTTGTGAGAATCAAGAAACAGATATTAATTAATAATATGAACTATTTTATTTTTTTTCTTTCTGTCTCTCCAGAGAAGTAGACCTCTACACAGGCTACACAACCAGAAATATCCTGTGCATGCCTATTGTAAGCCGAGGAAGTGTAATAGGTGTTGTGCAGATGGTGAACAAAATAAGTGGAAGTGCCTTCTCTAAAACTGATGAGAACAACTTTAAAATGTTTGCAGTCTTTTGTGCTTTAGCCTTACACTGTGCTAATGTAAGTTTTATTTACAGTTTTTTAAGCTGTTGATTATAATGGGAAGACTTAGAACCCTATTTAAGGATTTTAATGTTCCAGATTATTAAAATGATTTAAAAGTCTGTTTTGTTGAATTAACGAGGAAACAAAAATCATTGAATTATTTGATGAGTAATTGAAATTTTAAAGGATGATAGAGATTTGTTTGATGCTTTCTGGAATAATTTTACTCTGGATGCATCAATTTCTGTAGCTAAACTGAGAGAGCAAGCTATGAAATGTGAATTATACCCATCTGTCATCTCTTTTCCATTAGAAAGTATGATTCTTATTTCCTTTTATAAATTCAGATAATATGTTTTACAAATTTAACGGGGGAATGAGATGTTATGTATTCTCTCGATTCCATGTGCTTACTATTCAAAGATATCAATTTAATACGCTGTGCTGCATATTCATAATTATCCATGCTTCTTGATAAGTGGATATCTACTTTTGTTTTCAAACCCTTTATTGTCACAAATATTACTATTCCCATAGGTAGCATAAGTAATTTAATGATCATTAATATATAAAAATGCAATAAATGCAATAAAAATGCTATGCAGAAGAAATGTGTCATATTCTTGGGTGGTAAGATACAATGCAATACCAGTTAAGTCTGGTGATTTACATTAAACCATTTTACCAACATCGTGCTGTCATTATACTGGGGCAGCAAATTTTACTAACAGTTATTTAAACTTGTTCCAGATGACTCAAGGTGGGTAGAAAGGCCTGCATATAAATGGCTCTTGGGACTATACAATCACTCACTTGTGTGTGAATTCACTCCTTTTAGATGGTGAATATTACCACTCAGGGCATAGTGCTCTAGAGGATTGTATTTACTAGTAAAATTGTTATATCCTCACTTGTTTATGAACTATGCCATGCCTTCAGTAGCTGTCTGAACCTCTTGATCATAACTGTACTTATTTTTTTGCATTTATTGCACAGTAATGTAAGTATGATAAACATCTCATTAACTTTTTACTGTGCATAGGTAGCAGTTATTTATACCAATAAACAGGTGAATTCATGCAGTGGCATGTTGCCAGTTACCTGTTACCAGCTTTCTTTCTGTTAGCGTATTGCAGGGGTCTGAGCTCCATTTCCAACTCCTGCACTTTGATTCTTTTTCTTTGGGGAGCTCAGAGACAGTAAAAAATCAGCTGAGCCCTAGATATTTACCTGAGTGAGTAGGTGAAGAATTTTTAATAGAAGGCCCAGTTTTCCAGTAGTACTCAATTTCATATAATCTGTCACTTTTTCTAAAGTGTAAAATTGAACAGCTGGAAGCACTAACATTTCTGCAGATATGTGTTTCAAGAATAAGTAATTTAATACAGGAAAGAAATGTTTTTCCTTTATTAAAATTTGACATTAATGAACAACTTCCCTTTTCAGATGTACCACAGAATTCGCCATTCAGAGTGTATTTATCGTGTAACGATGGAGAAGCTATCCTACCACAGTGTTTGTACAGCAGAAGAGTGGCAAAACCTCATGCAATGTACACTGCCTCCACATATTTGTAAAGAAATTGAACTGTAAGTATCTTTCTCATATAGCGAGAGACGAGTCTTTTATCAGTCTGTAAAAGAGGTGATTTTTTCTTTCTTCCCCTTAGTGTGTATAAAAACCCTCCTTACTGGAGGGTTTTTATAGGAAGAAATTATTATTGAACTATTAAAAAATATTAGGAGTTTATCTGTAGCTTTCTTATACTTAATGACCCATGAAGAAAATTTACCTGTCGAAGACGTAGAATAATACGTACTCAGAATGCTAGATTTTTTTCAGGCGTAGGTAGTTACAGTAGTTGCTTTAAGCATTAGATTATATAGAAGGATAGTAGAGATGAGCTTTCTTTCTGATAGACCTAAACAGCTGAGAGCCAGAGAGGAGGCTGAGATGGAGCATCAGTATTTAAGAGCAAATGCATGACCTCATCCTTTTGTATGTATCTTAGAATAAAAAATTCAGTTCCTTCCTGGGGTTTTCTGGGTTGTATGTTTTGGGTTTTACTTTGTTTTGGGGGTGGGTGAGTTTGGGTTGTGTTTGTTTGCTTGGTTGTTTTTTTTTGGTGTATGTGTCTGTTGTGCATCTGCTTGCATTTCTTGAAGGATCAGAAAATGTATACAGATCTCCAAACTTCTGAAAATAATTCAGGTGCTAGAGTTTAGAGTTGTGGCCTAAATTTGGAGGAGGACTTCCCATCCAGCCTCTGAGTCTTTCTCTGAAATAATTCAGTTACTTCCAGCTCTTAAGGATCTGCTGTGTGCTGAAGATCTACCTCTATCTGTATTTTGTCATTACTCACTCAACCCTAATGCAGGGAGTCATCTTAGTATTTAGTCAGTGTTTCTGGCCTAGGACAATATGTAGTGACTGGGTACCTAAAACCAGAACTCTCTGATACTGAGTCACAAAATCTAAGCTGCCTATGTAAACCTAATCTACAGAGCTAGGTCACTACTGTGAGGCACTGAGCATTGTAGCTGTGAGCGAGCAAAGGATGAAAGCGTAGGCTAATAGGGACCACTTGCACTTAAAGTTCATTACATGCTAAAGTGATTTGCGAGAGCACCAGAGTATTAGCAGCTTGCACAATTATACCCTAATAGAAGCTTATTCTATGCAATACAATTTCTTGTGCTTTGTTAGATGATATTATGTAACCCACCTCCTCATCCAAAAAAATGACTTTTACTTGCAAAGATGACAGGTTTCATTCTAAATTATATTAGCACCCTTTAGTTCAAGCAATCTGAATACATTTAGCCATTTTACAAGCAATTCAGCTACCTTCAGCCCTTCTTGCACCTGTTCAGTATGCCATGTACATGCAAGCGCTTAGCTGGGTTCAGTGGAAAGTAAATAGAGGACTTTCAGCACAGCAGGTGCAGGGAAATGGGTTAATTAATAATCGAAGGACAAACAGTTCTGCTGAGTCGGTCCCTAATATTAGGCCTAAATGTTAATACCGGGAGAGGGAAAAAGTCCTCAGCTAATGAAACATATCAAATACAGTATTAAATGTTTGATTTTTGAGGTTTGGGCTTAATTTGTATTAGCTACTGAAAGCTGATTTTTTACCTCTACCAAAATTAGAGTGACACTTGCCAAATTTGTGATAGAAATTTAAAAAACAAGCCCTACTAAATATATTATTGGAGACCCCATCTTTACAGTTCCTGGGAGGAAGGTCTGGAATCTTTTAGGAATGCCTGTAAAGCTCTCATAATTGTGAAATAAAGATCTTTGTACATTACTTAAGCAATGGATTCTTAAATAAAGATCTGTGCTTCTATTCATTAAAGCCAAAGGCTAACTATAGGCTAACAGTTGGACTTGGTAATCTTAAGCGTCTTTTCCAATCTAAATGATTCAATGATTCTATGAGGATAGTTCCATTGACCTTAGTGGAAATATATTAACATACTGGAAAATAACTTCTTATTGCTAGAAAATACATCCTGTAAAGTCAGTTTTCTATATATGTTCAGAAACAAGTGAATGCTGTTGAATATACATTACCTGATCCTTTTCACTTGCTTTTAGTAAGAATGAAAAAGTGTTTGTCCTTACTTTCTTCCTAGGTACCACTTTGATATCAGTCCATATGAGGACGTCTGGCCTGCCGTTTTTGTCTACATGGTTCACCAGTCCTGTGGGACAGCCTGGTATGAAGTACATGTTTTATTGCTTTAATTCTGATATTTAAGTGTTTGTTTGCTAGGAAATTTTGAGATCATTATTTTCTAATTCAAGGTCTTATTTTCTTTGGAGTTTGTTTACAATGGCTGGTCTGTACAGGGCAGTAATAAGCAGGCTGCATTTCTTATCCCAACTTCTGGGTCTTCCGTTAATGAAATCTGGGAACAGCAGGGTAAAAGAACTCATGGTATCATCCAAAGATTGGTCCTTCCAAAGTATCAAAGGTATTGGTTCCGAGATGAGATTGTTGCTCAGAAGATGGTGAAGATACTAAAGTCACTCTTGCCGAAAAGGAGAGGTCCATGAATACTGATTTTTCAAACACATAGTTGCTGAAATTAATATATTAATGTTTGAAATAGTCCACGGTTAGACCTTCTCTTACTAGATGAATCTCTTATTGGCTTCATTAAGCACTAATTAAGGAAATGAATGGTTTTTCATTGTCCTTTCAGTGTCCATTATCATTACTGAGGTCAGTAGTCTATTGGCTAAGTAAGGAGCAGCTCCTTTCCCATTGCTGAAAGAAAGGAGCTGCTCCAAATCATGGAAAAAATCTACAGATAGGCCATTGAAAGAGGAAATACCTCCCTGCAAAAAGAAGCAGCATTTAGGAAGCATTTGCTGGTGACTGTGGATCTTAGTAACTGAATGAATGTCCATGCTTTCAAAGCATAGTCAAACCTGAGGGTCTTTCTGATGTCTTCTTCAATACTGCAGAATACTTCTAAATACACTTCTCTGCCATTCAGTGTAGTTAGCTTGTTTCTGTTCCTAACTGAATGGCTGTGGATTCAGGATGAGGGTTCAGATTTCCAGCTAAGTTCTGTTCTTTTCCCTGTCTCCCAGTCATTTTCTTTCAAGGTATAACTTTGGTGGGAATATTTACTTGACATTTTTCAAGTGAGCTTAAGTTTTTACATGTAAAGTTAAAGAAATAAAAGTGAGGAAAATATTTGAAAAGGAGACTGATGGGACTGAATTTATATTTAATTTCTGAAAGAAGAAAAATTCTCAATCCCCTGAAACAAATACAGCTATTTTAAGACTAAAATTTGCTTTTTAATGTATTGAGGAGCAAGGTTGTGCCTTTAAGCATCTATGCAATGTATAACTGTACTGTCCATGGAGGATTTTGGAGAAGAATCAAAGACAATCGCTACATTTTCTTTGCTTTCATGAAGAAATAATCTTTTACTGCTTTAATCAAGCATAGAAAATAACAGCAGTGGAGGAAGTAGTAGTATTGTAAGTTGGTGTATCACTGATACCTCATAGTAACTATAGAGCAGTTATTGGGTATAGATGGAAGTGACTGTTGTGATATTCTGAATTATGGTGTACTATTTTAAACAGTAGTTCTAACAGTTGGTCTAGAACTGTCTGTTTTAACTCTCTAGAATTGAAAAAGAAAGCCTGAGCTTTTTTGAAAGGCTGAACCACCATTTTCACTAATGTCAGACGAAGGGTAAGAAGAATTATTACCTTCCTCAGCACAGAGCTATAGAAATGTGTTATTTCTCTCTAACTGGCTCCATATAGTAGAAGTGTTTACATTTTTATATATAGGTCACTGACATTCAGCTTTGTTTTCTCAGTCCGCATGTACTACAAAACTAAAACATTAATGTCACTTCCCTGAGTTATCCAAGAAATTACCAAAACATAGAACTTAAAAAAAAAATAATTAAAAAGTCAAACCACAGTAATGGGATAAAAATGAGAATAAAGAAAAGCTAATGTGTTTATGAGAGAATAAGTCAGTGACTTAAGACTGGCATCTTCAGTTCAGTTCTGGGCTTAAGTGTAATAACTCCTTTTCACCCTGGGCTCCTCAGATTGGGCACTTTAGAGAATTTTCCTGATATTTAATCTGTGCCTGAATTTCCCATCTGCAAACAAAAAGTATTTAGCTTTCATTTCAAAGGAACATAAGTAGATAAAGTCTGTTAGAGATTGTGCAGAACTCTGGTACTACGGACTATGAATTGTCTCAGAGGTGTTTTTGATGAGCACATAATTTATTACTGTTTTTTATTATTCCTTAGTGAAAAGGTCTCTTGATCATGGATTAATTTTGCTTTTCTATATTAATAGCAAAAATATATATGAAAAATCTTTAAGAAATAATCTCATAAATGTGATAGATTTGGGGCATTTTTATGGTTGACTGGCGATTACTTAATGGAATACTGTTTGGTGAAAAATGAAGAAACAGTGAAATGTGAATTTCTGTTCATTTGGCCAGACCAAAAAAAAAAAAAATCTTAGTCCTGGGAAAAGGAAAATCTTCATTATGTCAGTATGCAGCATCTCAACATCTTTCATTCAAAACAAGCTATATGATTCTATGATTTGACTGAAATTTTAATTTAAACAGGGTTATTTCTTCTGTGTTACTTGCTTAAGATCTCAAATTTTCTGTTTTGTTCACAGATGCTATTTTAAAATTGTCCATTAGATAGGGTTTTGCTATTTGGCAGGTTGAATAGATAACTGCTTAAAGAAACCACACTTGAAGTTTCTGGGAGCAGGAAGGGTTATACAGTTGTGTTGCCTGAGCTGGGTAATATGTTATGTTCCATAACTTTACGTGTTAAACTAAGCGCATTGTCTGGTATGCACACTCCTCTGTCTTTGCCAAAACTTGAATGACTCTTGTAATCAATGAGAGTCAATCATAGCAAGAAGAGTAAATGAAAGAGCATCTTTTCTCCTCTCTTGGTTATATTTCCCATTGTTATTTCTTGTCTCTGAATGAATTAATTTCTTTCTAGCTTTGAACTTGAAAAACTATGCCGATTTACTATGTCTGTAAAGAAGAATTATCGCCGTGTTCCCTACCACAACTGGAAACACGCAGTTACTGTTGCACATTGCATGTACGCCATACTTCAGAACAACCAGGGACTTTTCACTGATCTAGAGGTAGGTGAAATGACTGTATCAGTTACTAGACCTCATCAGAGGTATTGGCCATCATAGAAGTACATTTTCTATGCTAGAGTTTTGCTGTCAGCTTAGACAGAGTGTATTAAATGTCCCTGCAGAGGAACAGGTGTGAGTAGAAAGCATGAGGAAGACAAATTATTCAGATTCCTAATCCTGGTATTTCCTTCATGCTTTTCAGGTCTGTCCACTGAACGCTTAGAATAATTACATTTTAATATACGCTATGAAGCACTGTCACTTTCTTTTTTGTTTGTTTTAATTATGGTAGGTGCAACTGGGAATGGTGTCTATTATTGATACTACCTAAAACTCCTGACTGTGAGAACCTGTTTTCAGTTGTGTACAACTTTGCCAAATACTAGCTATTTGGGCTGTAGTTTTTAAGCTGTGTAACTTCCTCAAGCTGATTCATTTCTATGATTCTAAGTTTGAAAAGCCAGTATTCCTTTAACAACAAAAATCTGAGGATTGCAGCCTCAGGGCTCTGATAACATTCAGTACTAATTAAGTAGTAAGCACCATCTTTTTAGAGATGCAGAATAAGCAAGGCAAGGAGAGCAAAAGAGGCAGCTTTTAAGAGAGATGGAAACAGTTGTCATTCCTTGCTAAACTGCTAGTCTTTACTCATTTGAATGTGTTATCCCAGTCTATGCTTCAGCTCTTTCTAGCAGTCTCCTTTCCTGAGACTGGAGATTAATGGAACAATAAATCAGGGAACTGCTGAAGGAAAGTTTAGAGAACTAGAATGAGCTGGTCTCAGGTGAGGGATGATAGCATGAGCCTCCATAGACTTAGAGATGGGAAGAAAAGAATGAAACACTGTTAAGGGGACTGGTTTAGAGGCAAGTGGATCCAGCAGTTGGCAGTGGTCGAAGAGTTCGGATCCAAGCACCGACAATAGGTACAAGGTCAAGAGCACTGGTATTAGGCATTTTATAATCCTGAAGAACTGAGACAAGAATGACTTCCTGGGAAGTGGAGGCTGGGACAAGCTAGACAGAGAGAACCATCCGGTACAATGATAAGAATGGTAAGACTGTCAAAAACAAGAGTTGCAAAGGATTCAACAGGAGAATTAAACCTGTGGGAGAGGACAAAAAAAGCTTACCCACTAGATCTAACATGTAGCACAAAGGATTCTGAAACTGTTATTTCTTTTGCTGTCAGTGACCGTCTTTCAAGTCTCTTGGTTCCATGTGTTGCTCCTTCTCATTGTAGTGAAAAGGGGATGCCAGCTTCCTACAGCTGGTACTGCATGATTTCAAGTAATACAGGTGTGTTATGTACCTAAGGGTTCCACTTCTGCTGAGGATCTGTATGGACATGTGCTGCTGCATCTTTTTTTTGTTATGTGCTTTTTAAAAATGCACTACGCAAGATGCAATATTGAGAAGATGTCAGTAAAAATTAAAGTGAAGGATTTAAAATAAAAATCAAGGTCTCAAAACCAGAACTACCATTAGGGTTGCTACACCCTTAGTTCTGCATGTTGTATATTTGTGATAAAATCTTAAGTTACATTATTTGCTGTTTTTCTACAGAATCATGTGCCCCTTAGTACACAGGGTGGATGTTGCTCACTTTATAGGTAGTTAATTATGTTCTTTTTCTGCTTCATTTTATGGCCTTATCTGTGTCACCAGGTCCAACTATGAGACAGAGCTGTTAAGTCTATAAAGACATTTTCATAATACACCATGCTGACAGTGACTGCTTCACAAACATTAGTGAGTGTGTTTTCAAAACACACCTGCTATGTGAAAACCTGTTGCAAGTGTTCACGTATTTTGTGTGTTTAAAGAGAGACTGCAGGGACTCCATTTCTGCAGGATTTTAGGACTTAATTAAATAAAAAAAAATCAGTTGCTATCTTACTTTGTTTGCAGTTGCCATTGCCCGGCGGTTCTGTGGCTCACATTAGTGACTTCCTAGGAAAAGTTGCACGTAGGAGACTTGTTCATATTCTTCGGGGGGTGTTGCAGAGACACATCTAGCATTGGACTTTGGTGTGGCTGCCTTGACCAGATGATCATACATCTTATGTATTTCCCTCAATAACTGCACTTTAATTTTCTTTTAATAAAGTTGGTAAGGATTCAATGGATGACCAGAAATTCTGTTTTAAACTCAGATTTCTTCTTGAAGCAGAATCCCTCTGATAGCATGTGGCTGTGCAACATTGTTTTTAAAGTTCATAATATATGAAAGATTTGAATTACAGTTGGACCAAGAATTTTAATTCAGCACGTCCTCACTTTGTGCTTCTCACAATTTTAAGGAAGTTTCTCCATGTGCTTCTTGAAGACATGAAGTGTAAGGAGTGCAATTTTTACAGTATTTTGGGAAGAGAGTGACATCTAGGGGCAGGAAATATATCTTACTTGTTCATCTCAATTTTTTTTTTGTAGCGAAAAGGTCTTTTAGTTGCATGCCTGTGTCATGACCTGGATCACAGAGGTTACAGCAACAGCTATCTTCAGAAATTTGATCACCCCTTAGCTGCTCTGTATTCCACATCAACAATGGAACAGCACCACTTCTCACAAACTGTGTCCATCCTGCAGGTAGGATTATTGAAATCATATCTTCTGTGCAGTGGAGTCCAGTGGTGGAAATAGAAGTCATATCACTACCCAGTAGATTTTTTGAAGCATGCTTATTTTAATGTCTGGATTGTAGTGCTCGTTTACAGGAGTGGAAGATTTATTACAGCAACTCAGTTTCCACAATTAGCAACCCAAGCATTCAATAATAATGCAAAACATAGCTTTCCCAAAATCTTGATGTTATAAAAATAATCAGTAGGTATTTGAAGGTATTTTTCTATGGCCTTCCTTTGGAGCTTTTAGCTTCTGGGTAAGTGGGTTTCTTTTCCTATGATCATATGGAATAGTAACTTTGAAAATGAAGAATCAGAGTTCTCACTTAGATATTTGCAGTGCTAGGTGCTTCAACAAAATCTTCAACCATCTTGAAATTCTGAATGAAAGCTCAAGTATTGGCAAAAGTTTGCATGAGAAGCTTGAAAACCTGCTGTAATAAATTCCATGAACATTAAATGTGTGGCATGAAGGAGAGAATGTTAATTTTGTATGCATGAAAAATCTAAACTTTTTTCATTATGTTATCATCTGGTTTTTTGCTATTAAGCAGTTCAGCTGAGTAAGGTAATATCGTATGAAAGAGAGTTCCTAATACAAAGTAATGTGTCTGTATGTTTAATGAATAGAAAGCTACAAGAAAGAATGCAGGCACATCTTGGGAAATCCAGATGTGCTACTGACACAGATATTTTCTCATCAGTGAAAATTATTTTCATGCTCCATTAGAAGAGTGAGAACTCTCACCTATGAAACCACTGCCACTCCATAACATACTTGTGCTCACTGGTTTTAGTTTACCATGCACATACTCAGTGCACAGCCTCACCATGCTACTGTGCCAGTAATTTGTTGTTAACTTTTCTTTCTTTCTGGTCTTTCAGGGGGAAGATATTTATTTACTTAAGTACCTAATCACCTTTTAGGAAAAATACATATTCTGTATTGTATTCAGAAGCACATCTTGTGATTATGGTTTTAGGTATCATGTACATTTTTCATCACAGAATGGAAGCTTTATCTCTGTATGCTCCTTCATGTAGGAGGGTGTAATTGAATCCTTCAGTGGTGGTATGGCATTAGATTTTTCGTATTCATTCTTCATGTGAGTTTGTGCACAGTGAGCAAGTTCCTCAGGCATTAACACTTCCCTGTCCTACTATGGCTTCATGAAGCAGACTTCAGTCATTTTTCAAAAACCATTTTACATTTCTCCTAGAGAAATCTTGTAACCAGTGAAAGTCCCATTTGCCAAGACAGCAGGGAACCCTTTTGCTTCCCCACTATCTCTAGACTTGGCCGTCAGTGTGAGTGAGGAAAGAGATACAGGTGGTCAGGGCTGTAAAGTGGATTCACACACTGACTACCCAAGTGGTCTGTTATGGTGGCTAGTAACCTGCAGTAGTTTTCACTGTTTGAAACCTTATAGCTGCTCATCTGCCTGCTGTTCTAGTGTACACCATACTTACAAATACAGAAGTTTCTATTCAGTAGCTTTAGCTCAGCAGGGAAAGAATAAAATCTTAGCAGCTGTACTTTGTATGCACTACTCAAAGCCTAAGTGATGTGCTCAGAAATGTCAGCTTCTGTCAGTACTTAACAAAATCAGTTCTAGGAGAATGAACAAAAGCTGTCACAGTGATCTTTTTGATAGTACAGCTTCTAAAGCCTAAAGAATTGAATCCAGAATAATTCTTTAAATATTGGGAAAAATAGCCTGTTCTTGTGCTGGGCAGCATGGTTGAAAAGGAAAAGTTTCCCAGAACCCTAAATAATGAAAGCTAGTAGTAATTGTCCTGCTCCTAAAGCATTGATGATGGGTTAAAATGTTATGAATTTGTTTCTTAAACATCATGTTCTATGGCTTCAGAGTGTGTCAAAGGAGCATTGAGACATAGAGGGATTGTATTTTCTATTTATTATTCACAATAAATCTACTTGTCCAAGTAAAAATGTTGGAAAATGACATTTGCGTTCCAGTTGGTGAGAGAAACCAAACCTGTTTGTACCATAGAGGATTTATTTTGAACAAATTATGTAAATGCTTCACAAAGTCAGGGAAACTTTTTTATGAGTTTCAGCCCAAATGCCAATTAAATGTCAAAACACATCTGCATTTAGTATATTCTAATAATATTTTCTATTTGTGAATGTGCACACCTTAATATGGCTGGCTCATTCTTTCCTGTTTTTCTGTTTCCTCTCAACAGTAGGAATATTTTTGACAGATTGCTTTCCAAATCCTAGAGACAGTGAATAGTGTTGACTTTTCAAAATGTGATAACAGCTTCATGAGTGATCACAGTACATGGATATTGTCAGTTAAATGCACAATAATACATACTGGAAATGGAAAAGGGATGACAGTAGCATGTTGCAAGAGTAGTGGAAACCATTGTCTTTAGTTTATGAGTCAGTCAACTCATGGCTGAACAAAGCAGCTTTTTCCCCTAAATGTTCGTATACATTAAAATACTGTAATTAACTTTATTTCTATAGAGAAAATTGTATCAGTAAATGCAGCAATTTCAGGCACATTTCATTTGGAACACGATGAAAACAAAATTATTTTGGTACTGTAACTTGGATATTTCCTCATCCGTATTATGTGTTACGCAGTATTGAAATTGTACTTCAGAGTGAATCAGACACTCAGTTTATCAGCTTGGCAGTGCAGCAGTACTCTGGATCAGGATTGAATCACAAGTTCCTAAACTAATAGGAGTGCTGTGTCTGTAGTGCTTATAAATCAGAGAAGAAAATGCTAGCATTTTGCTCTATTAATACCTTTAGGCTTCAGAAGGTCAGTCCAAAACCAAATCAGTGGCTTAGTCATAAGTTCCATAACAGCATTTAAAAAGGAAAGATAAAAAAGGGAATTTCAGGCTGTCAGCATTTGAATTCACAACAGAAATTGTCACTGGGCTGTAAAACCATTGTAACCTGACTCATGAAGTAAAGACTGAAATCATCTCAGAATTAGAGCTTGTGCTTTTTATTGTTTTTTTACTTTTTCATAGCTGGAAGGGCACAATGTCTTCTCCAATCTGAGCTCCAGTGAATATGAGCAAGTACTTGAGATCATCAGGAAAGCCATCATCGCCACAGACCTTGCCCTGTATTTTGGGAATAGAAAACAGCTTGAAGAGCTGCATCAGACAGGAGCATTAAACCTTAAGAACCAAGCACACAGGTAAAGAAGCAAACAGTATTAGATCACTATGGCATTAGAAAGAAAAAAAAAAAACAAAACAAATATTTCTGTGTACACAGCAATTTTCTTACATATCACAACTGTGTGTAAAATTCCCAGTACATAACAGCATTTTCCATTATTTTGTACTTGCATATCACTGACTTTGGCTGTCATCCAAACAGTTCAGTGTCAGATTTTCTGCAGAGGAAAGTTAGTGTACAGATAGTTGGGTAGTGGGGAAAAACATATAGTGCAGTAATACTTAGATTTATTTATATGTCAATATTTTTGTTACTCTGTCAGCATGTTTTTTTGGAAATAATTCTGCTCAGATCTCAACCTTTGTGAGTTAAGATAGCTCTAAGTTTTAAAAAGGTGCAAGTGCATATTCATAAATACATGACTCTCTCTGTCCACATAAGCAAAATATAGTGCACTCTGGACAAGAGATGTGTCTCATAACAGACTTCATTAAAGTGCTCGTGCAGCCCTTCAGAGCTGCTTTCTTCTGGAAAGTGGATCCTGTCATTAATCTAATGCAGAGGAAAATTAGGCAAAATAATGAGTCATGATTTTGATTTCTTTTCAAAAGGAATTTAGGTACTTGGGTCTTCTTTCAGAAGAGGTCTACAGGATTTTGCCAGTAGTTTTGAGTAAATTATTACAAGACTGTAGGAAGGAGAGGTTTTAAATGCTTATTTCCCAGTATAGAACTAAAGCTTATCAGAATTGAATAAAACTTAAGATCTTTAAAAGATGAAGATATAGTAGCTCCTGATAATGAAATGTACCAGAAATTTTGAATTTAGGGTTCATAAAATTTAAATAGCATGATGACTAATTAGTATGTGATTGAATATTCTGTTAGGTTTACATATTTTTTTTTTTTTTAATCTTACCTGTCCTCAGAGCATTTTCATTGCAAAGCCAACGTGCTCAAAGACAGGACATCAGTTGGTAAGGCGGCTAAAGAATCCAAGACATCTAGTTATTACCTATACATGCAAGGGAATGCTAAATTTCAACATTATGTGGCTGATCAATTCTCTTTCTTAATTTAGGGGAATAATAGCACTTTGGCATTTATCTATCTATTATTCTGATAATGATTATAATCCTACTGATAATGTTCACAGTTATTCTGTGGACAGATTTGTTGGTGTACAGGACGGAGTTATGTATAGAATTCTTGTTCTACCAAGGTTGGAATTCATTCCAACAAAACAATGACAGAGTACCTTGATGCAGGCTCAGAAGCAGTTTTTCCTCTTATTTGGACCATGCGTTCCTTTGTCTGTAAGCAACAAAGAAATGCAGCAGTAGGAAATGCCATCCTTCTTTTTATAGACTTGTACTGTATTTTCAGAAAATTAAGGAGGGGCGTGTGAGTGTTTTAACAGACAGACATTCTTGTGTACTTTTCTATGAATGTGATTGTGCAGATGATGGTCAATGAACTCAGGTTCCAAGCAGTGCAGAGATAATGCGTGGAACATAATATGTAGTTTGTGTGATGCCTTATCAATGAATCATTAGCAAGTGAGGAAGAAAAAAGCAAGGTGAGAGAAATTTTGCAGTGTGTATACTTTAATGCCAATTGAACTTAGGAATGGCAAACAAAAGCTTTGCAGTGTGATCATTAATTCTTTACCAAACTTACCATTTAATCTTATTTTATTTTAGAGATAGAGTGATTGGTCTGATGATGACGGCTTGTGATTTGTGTTCTGTAACGAAGTTATGGCCAGTTACCAGGCTGACGGCCAATGATATATATGCGGAGTTCTGGGCTGAGGTATGTGTTTCTTTTGTTTACTCTCTTTATAAATAGAAGTATCCAAGAAGAAAAAATCAACCATAAGTATTTTTCAATCAATATCTTAGTATGCTTGTTTTAAAGAGTGTTCAGTGGTGCATGCAAGTGTTTTGTTCTTTCCTCTGAAACTATTTGAAGAGCTGAGTTAGGTTCATAATTTTAGGCAGCATTTTTTCTCTCCATTAAAGATGGATTTAGAAACTAAGTTCTAACATAAAGTGACCAAGCAACAGAACACAGAATAAAATCTTTAAGGTTTTTTGAGTCACCTGTAATTTTGTAAAGTGTTTCTTTGTATTCTAGAAATACAAAATATGACACCAGCTTCCAGGTCAGCTGCCTTGAAACACGTGTGTAAAGGTGTTACAAGGCCAGGAATGCTAAGGCAAATATGACAAACTTTAAAATTGTTCTGACCATTTGAATTTTCTTTGTGAGCCAGCTCAACAGCTGGGTTTCAGGGAGAGCTTATCTTTTAGTATACTGAAAGTTACTCCTCAGATAAGTTATACTGAGAATTGAAACAAAGCATTGAGCTGTGCTGATGTAATCATGTTCGTAAATAAAGATGCAGTCTCTCACGTGTCTTACACTGAGGAGTAAATGTTCTAAGTGTTTAAATTTTGAAGTAGAAGTGACTACTTCGGGGAAGAGGAATACATTGTGAGGATGTGGCATAGACTTGAATTATGCAGTTTTGAAATATATGCTGTATTTTTAGAACTTCTGTTGCACATGTATGATGAAATGTTCTTTTCCGTGATGTGCCCTGTATAAGTCTGCAGAATTCAGTGGGCTTATTTCTGTTTTGCACAGATGTAAAATGGAAATCACACCCACAGAGTTGATGTAGCATGCATATAGCATGGAAGTTGTTGTCCTTCCTGTTGCATGTTCATTATGAAATTCAAGGTGTGCATGGCTTGTGGGTGGTTTTTTGTGAATATTCACATGTTCTCATTAACTTAATTTTGAACAGCTCAGACAACAATAAAATATTTGAAAAAATGCAGACTGTATAAGCTCAAAGATCTAATTTCAATACTTACTTTCTAAAATGTCAGCACTGGAAAGTGGGTGTTCTTATGGGTGATAAAATGGAGGTATAATGTTGATGTGCCCCACTGATTACATACTCAACTTTTTTGCTTACAAATAAAAAAGTCCTTTTAATGCGAATTTTGTGAACTCAGTGGAGAAGGAATGGTCAAACTGATTTTTCCTAATCAACAATTGGAAAGGTGGAATTATGGGCATAATTGAGCCTGCTTTATTTTAACCTGTTTTGTAGTCCAAGGATGAGTTAGTAAAAGTGGATTTTGTTATGTTGCTACTTCACGGAGCACATGTAAATTAGAAGTTATTGACAGAAATTGAATTGTTCAATTAATGTCTTACTGAATCCTCTTTAAGAAGAGGTCGATTGACACATGGTAGAAGTTTAATACATTGTGATCCACTCAGAATGTCTGACAAATCCTGCCACAGGTCTAAATGCTTCTGGAAATTGGAAAGCTGGAGACAGATACAGAGAAAACCTTGGGAAAGCTAAACCAAAAGGAAGTTTAGATTGTGTTTCACTGTAGAGACTGGGAAAAAAGGTAAACTCTAGGAAAGTGTGCTTGACTAGATTAAATGGTTAGTTCTAAAAGCAGGATAGAGAGTTGCTTCTAGTTTCTACTAGAGTTCATAATCTTAATATCAGAGTGGTTTTATATTTCGTCTTTGTGTAATCATTAACTAAAACAGTAACTGCAGAAGATGTTGCGGCAATTTTTTGTATGTCACACTGATCTTTTTTCATTGATCAAAGCCCAGTACAGCTAGGGTTTCCAGCTAAGATTTGCCTTGATATCACTCAGCATGAAGCTTTCCCACAGTATTGCAACTCAAGCAAAATAATGCATTTGCTGATCTATTATATAGGATTACAAACTTGTATAAGATTTAACTGCTGCAGTTTGGGTTTTTTGGTGAGATATGAGACAGTTGTTAAACAGTACTTTTTTAAGAGACTTACTAAGCCACTTAAAACTGTACTGGAAGTATGATGCAAACTGCTTAAAACTATAACTTTCTGATCATAATGGTAACTGTGGGGATAAAGCAGTATATTTTATAACCATGTGTCATATGGGTGTTCGTGGATACTGAGCACAAGAAGGCACTTGTGTTTCTAGTGCACATGTTCCCTCTAAATGTAATACTTTTCTACTGTGAGGGTGGTTGACCAGTGGCACAGATTGCCCAGAGAGATTGTGGAGTCTCCGTCACTGGAGATATTTAAAACCTGACTGAACACAGTCCTGGATCACCTGCTTTAGCTGATCCTGCTGGGATAGGTGTGTGGAATGGAGTGGATGATCTCAAGAGGTCCCTTCCAGTCAAAAGCATTCTGTGATTCTGTGATACCTTTTACTTTCAAGGTGAAATGGTGAACATAAATCTGAGTTTTGGCATAATCAGTCAGAGGCTGCACAGCTTCCTCAAAGCTCTGGCTTCAAGTGCTTCTCAGGCGTAAACAAGCTGAAAATCGTACAATTCTAAATGGTTTAGTGTTGAGGTTCTTATCATTGAAACAATGGTAGCTGCAGACAGTCTTAGACCAGTCAATTGCAGTACTTCAAGCAAATGAAAAAAAAAAATTACTGGGGGCACATAAAACCAAAATTTGTTTACAGTTCCTCAATAACAATCCACTGTGTTTCTGTGCTTGGAATTTTTTCAGGCATCTTTTTATCAGCTGAGGAATGAGGCCTTTCCTGTTGTTCCTTTCAACAGTAAAATGTGTGACAGACTACACTCAATGATTCTAGCCTCTCTAACTAGGTGAAAGAAATCTTTTGTTGGTTAATTGAGCAGGATCATAGTTATAGGTGATGTTGAGGCAAGTATACAAGAGTGAATTGACTTCCAAAAGCCTTCGTTTTTTTCTACACTCAAGGTAGCTGCAAGACAGGCAAACAGAAAGACACTTTTCTCATATCAGAATCAATTTATTCTATTGCAAACTTCTCTTCAAGTAAAGGGGCCAGAATCCTCCCTTGGAAGGGCATGTTGGCACTTGAAACGTGGTCTGATAAAAATCTTATGAGAAAGATGTAATAAGTTGTCTTCTGGAGATGCCTTCACTAACTGTAGCAGAAACATAGAACATGGATTTAGGGAATATCCCAAGCTTTCAGATAGCTAAACCTTTGTAAGCTGAATCTCACATTAAAGGACACAGATAAGCAAATACTGTATATGCAGTTATCCTGTATAAACTTTCTCCCTAACTAAGCTTCCCCCATCCCACTACCAAAACCTCACCACACAACCCCAGTACATAAGGTCAGCAGTTTGAAGTTCGCATTGCCTTTGGAATCTCAGACATGAGCAGTATCAAAAAGCAACCATTACTATGACTATAGCTGCCTTGATAACCTCAAGATTAAACATCTGTGTTGTTTTGACTATGCGATTGAGGCATAAGACTTGGAAAACTTCAAATTGTTACAGAAAGTAGCTAGCTACTTACAGATTTTTAAGAAGTAATTGTGTGCAGATCCAGTGTAGCATTCAGAAATGTATTGTAGCTGCTCTGCTGGTAATGGGTGAAACATAAGGAGACACCTTTCTCATGGTCATTACGTGTATCTGGTCTTTGGATATGCTGTGTCTTTCCCAGTATTCCTCTTATAAATGTAGAGGGATAATGTACTTAAAGAAAAGAAGGTTGGTTGATAGCAGCTTCTTCAAAGCAGTATGGTCAGAAGGGATGGATGGTTGAAAAAGTGGGCATATTGTAAATTTCTTTGTTTTACTCAGCTTTTCCTTGGATGGGTAAGTTCTGTTCTACTGGTCATTGTATTATAATGCTTTCAACAAGTGATGCTTTGAAAGATGAGACTAGCTATGAATAGAACACAATAGAATAGAATGAGCTGATTTCTTTGATTTTATTCTTCCAGTTGCTTTTTATTATGGAGACAGTCTTGGAAACAAGGAAAATATGTGTACATTGACTCAAAACCTTCATTTTTAGAATCTGCTAATTACATTATCGTTTAGGTGAACGTATAAAATGAGCCCCTCCTTAGGCAGTTTTCTGACATTGTCTTAGACTGGCACTACACATTATTTTAAATTCTGGATTTTTAGAGTGACATACAATAGACAATGGAAATCAATTGAGATCTCAGTAGTCTTGACTTTCATTTTGCTAATCTCTCTCTGTGCTTTTCTCCAGGGTGATGAAATGAAGAAAACGGGTATTCAACCTATTCCTATGATGGACAGAGACAAAAAGGATGAAGTCCCTCAGGGTCAGGTATGAACTCTCTCAGTAAAATGATACATTTGTAGTGTTAATAAAACATGTATAGAAAAAACAGTTTATGCATTAGTGAATATTGCATTTGCTGTTAGGTTATGTGGGCTGTTCTGTGTTCTGCAAGCCCAACAGGGTTAAATTTTATGTAGCAGTGAAACTTGTTTTCAAATGTTTACATAAATGACAATGTGTTCTTCACTGCTGTCACTTATTCCGTTCTTTGTACTTCTAACTCTAGCTAAAACCACAATCACCTATGATTTTGAGAAGTGTCAATAGCACTTTCTCAACTTAGTAAGTGGTTGCTTCAGCCCTTAGCCTAAGAGGTTTTTCTATTTTATCCTGAATGCAAAATGAACTTTGTCACCTGTTTCTGATTAAAATATTCAGGTTCATATTTCAAAAGAATAATGTGGAGAGTTTCTTGAGGATAAGCAATAAGGGGTGTATTACCAAGAGCCTCAGTTGTCTGTTTTTCAAAATCTTTGGGTACTGATGCACCTGTGCACAAGTGTGCAGAAATCACAGGATCAACTAGGTTGGAAAAGACCTTTAAGATCATCAAGTCTAACCTTTACCCCAGCATGACTGTTTTTTTTATGTTTTCCCTAAGGAAGATGGTATTCTGTAAACATAAATTTGAGGGTCTTAACTTTCTGGGGTAAATGGAAAAGGTAGCTTGTCCTTTGATTATCTGAGCAGAGAAAAATAAATTTAATTTGTACATGGTGCGTTCATATCCATATATATGTATAAGGTTGTGGTTTTTTTTTTTATTTCAGAGGACTCTGGTGCTTTGTCAGTAGTCAGCACTGACAAAACAATAATATTTAAAATAGAAATTGCAAAGTGTCACAAAATCACTGTAGATTAATTGCTCAATAAGTTATTCCATAACAATACTGTAGAAATTTTTGTATTCCAAAACTTAACTTTATGCACTCTACCATATTTTAGCATCAAAACTGTTAACTTTATTATAGTAAGGAATTTGCAGTTTATGTACTAAATTTGTGTTTATTATAAGCCTAAAAGGAGAAGAAACATTTTTCTCCATTTGGTTTATTTCCCCCAAACATTATATTAGTTATAATTGAATATCTTGAAAAGTACAAAATACTATAGTGTATAGTAATCTTGGCATTTGTAAAGGAATTGTTAATGGAGCAAGAGTACAGATCTAAGACATAAGTGAAATTTTTTCCTCTTTAAAACACAATAACTGTTTTTCCAGGTACTGTCTTCATCACATTCTGTTTTAGTTTGTGCTCTGTTTCATGATTCTTAATAGTGTAACAGTAAAATATTAAGGAAAATAGGATGCTAAAAGCCAACTTCAGTAGTATAGTTGTAGCTACTGTATCTTAAAACAACATTAAGGAAAATGTGAGATTTAGGACATATATAAGCAGCCATTCCTTTATTTATGTAGAGACTGAAGAATTTAATAAAGCATTATCATCCATTTACTTGGGCTCTAACAAAAAGAATTAATGAGTATTTTTATGAAACAGTTAATTTCAGAAATAAAAGATATTTTTCTCATTCCTCTTGCTTACACATCTTTAGGATAAACATACACTGCCTTTCCTGCAGTGACTTCAATAGTTTGCTCATACCTGAGTGAACTCTAGGCCTTCTGTCTAGCCACATCAAGATGGAATAATTTATCCAGATAATCCAAACCTTTTACAAAAGTAATCTGTGTGAGTTTGCTCTGGTCGAATATGGAAACTCTTGCAAAAGAATGTTTTTAATTAGCTTGGCTTTATCCAGAACCTAAATCCATTGAGACTTTGGGGGGGGGTTTCCTCCTTCACTGATGTCCATTTTAACTTAAAAGCTTTCAGGACCTTAGAAGAAACTTTTTATTCTAAATACTGGGGTTCCAGAGAGAATGTGGTTTGAAATACATTGCAGATTAACTTAGGTTTAAATAAAAACAAAACAGACAAGAAAAAACACATAGGGAGAAAACAATGCACTATATGAAATAGCAAACTTTGTTGATGAGCAGACATCATAGCTGTGTGCAGCCTTGCCTTCTCACCAGCTGCAGTTTCTTTCTATTGGCTGCACCATAATTGCTTCAACTCAGGCTGTTGGGTTCTTAGGTCAGAAAATGTATCTTCTTTTTTTTAAGTATAAAATGAACTTGGTTACATAGCAGTATGGGAGGAACCTCTCTATTCAGGGTGGTGAGGACAAGAGATGCTCTTCAATTTCTGAATAAGAGACTTATTATCAATTGCTTTGTCACAGTACTCTACATGGTATTTCACTTAAAAGCATTTAAAAACTCTGCCCAAAGAAAGGGATCATACTGCACTACTTTAACTGTCATAAGAATCTGGCATAAGTAAGTGATGTTGTAACGGATTTGTATTTAATCTGTCATCTTTGCTAATACCTAAATCGCATTTTCTAAAAATTCCCTTGTGTCATTACAAATCAGCTGTGACATGGTAGCTGTCATAAACCCTTAAACTTGTATGAATCAGACTTAATTAAAAAGGTGCTCATTTGATGTTTCCTAAATAGGTTTATATGGTAATGGCAAAAATATATCACTGGACCACATACATGAAAAGAAATTGCAAACCAACTGATTCAATTGAATAATAAAATGTCCCATAGAAAATCTGTTCTGAGCAGCCATCTTATTCATCGAATGGCTTGAGTTGGAAGGGACCTTAAATATCATCTCATTCCAACTCCCTGACATGGGCAAGGATGCCCTCCACTAGACCAGGTTGCTCAAAGTCCTGTCCAGTGGGATTATGTGGACTTGAAATCTTTCCACTCAGCAGAATCTCCCCTGTACTCCACAGTCCCATGCTGTGCTACAGAACGGGTCAGCTCCAGAGCTCATTGCCTCTTTGAGGGATAGAAGTCATAAAAGAGAGGCATATAAGCAATTTGTAATTGCCAGACTTCACTATGAATGTTCTGTTTTAAAATATTTGGATATTTGGATACAAAAGTATGAAGTACTGTCAGAATTAGTAATTAAATGAGTAGTCAACAGCTTTGAGCTAGCTGACTGTTAATTTTCAGTATTGTACTTCGGCAACATTTAACTATTGTTTTCATTGTTGTTTTTTGTAGATTGGGTTCTACAATGCAGTAGCTATCCCATGTTACACCACACTTGCACAGATCTTTCCTCCAACTGGGCCACTACTGCGAGCGTGCAGGTGAGTAAATGTGCAAGTTTTTGCATAGTGTGTAGCTCGGATAAATGAAAAGCAAACATACTTTGCAAGTTTGACTGAAAATACAGACTTAAAATTTTATGATTTGCTTGCAGATAACAGGGATATGCATCTTGCATTAATGTGTGCAGAAACTCAGAGGCAGTAACTACTGACTGGGATTATCCAGTGCAGATCTACAGACACAGCTGATTAAAATGTGTTTGATGCTGAGAGCATTTAGAGAGAAAGAGGTTCAGTGTTTATGTAACCCTGTCTAGGCTGGTTCAGTGCAGTTTCCCTCTGTGTCCTTTTTACTTCAGTGTGGCTCTCACAACAAAGATTGGCTAGAATTTTGTTTCATTTAAGGAAATGTATTGAGGCATGTGTTTTTATTTCATGTCAGAACATCTTTATTAAAAATCAGGAAAAGAAAGAACCCCAGAATACTTAGTAATTAGGAGCATAAGAGTACTACCACTGTGATGTGAGAGAGACATGCATAACTTTGTCCCATCAATCAGTTGGGATGTAGCTTGAGACCTTCTAGGGGAAAAGTCTGGGTCCTTAGCCATTTGGCTGCTTCTACCTTGAATGATGGTGGATCTCTTAGTAGGTTGTTCTGTCCAATAATTATATCCTCTACCTTGGCAATCTTTCCTGACAAAAGTTCTGTTGAAACTGGTATGCTTTGTGAAAATGTTCTACTTTCAGGTTAATCAGTATTCTCTAAAGAAAAACAGTTGGTTCATAAAATGCCAGCAATCTTTAGTCACATCCAGGGAATAGACCTCTTTGTCTATGCTCTTACCTCTCTCATAATTGTTTTTTTGTTTTGTTTTGTTTTGTTTTTTTGTGGTGCTTAAATTTGAGCTTGCACTGAGCTTTTTCCTTGGCCTGTATGGCAGATCTACCTGCTCTGTCACTTTCCTGATCTTGTGGACTAAGCGATCTGTGTGAAATAACAGAAGGATGCCCACTATATACAAAATTCTGTGAAACTAAACATAGTGATTAACAAAATAATTTCATTTGCACCCAAACATTGTTTCGCATAGCTGTGAGAAGAATGTATAGGTCTTTAGCAATGAGTGAGAGAGGACTGTCTTACGATAAACAGTATCTAGGAGCCATCTGTAATAGTCACCTTCCTCTAAGGTCCCACTGCAGGGCAAGGCTGTGCAACCCTTAGATAGATATGGAGGGAATATTCAGCAGGATTAGAGGCTATACCTTTTTAGTTATTATATTAATGGGACCACAGCTGGAACCCTGTGTAACATCTATACATTAAGAAGAATAGACAAGAACACTAGCAAATAAGAGAAGATTAAGAATTTAAAGAATGTTTTGAGATCATAGTAGTGAGAGACTAAAAAAATTGCACATAATATATTTAGTTTATCTAAGAAAATAACTTTATCAAAATCTGTAACTGTCTTCATAGTGTATTTTTTGATTAGACAAAGCCTATTAATTTAGCGCATAAGGACTATTTGAAGCCCAAAGGTTCAAACAAGGAATATGGCTAATGTCTTTTTTTAGCATTTGGAATAATGTCAGTTGAAGATCTTAAAGCAAGGCTGGGCATACTTTTTGAAAGAGAGATGTTAAAAAGATGCAGATGTGAGGAACAGTCACTGTAATAAAATTGCCAAGGACTATCTTTTCTAGGCAGCCAGGCTAAGTAATCCCTATAGTATTGTCTTTTGTCATTAGAAGCTATGAAATTAATAATGTCTGGTAAATAATGGTCAGTAATTTGTTTCCCTAAACTAAGTAATATAGAAATATTCATAAGTGTGTTCCATCAGTTACAATATAGCATTAAACTCTTCTCTAGTTTCAAAATACCATGGAGTTTGTTACTATCATAATGGTATCAACATCCAAATCCTGTTTTGGAATTCAGGCTTACAGTAGAGGGTAGGAACGTGTACTCCCTGTGCCATGTTGACCTCATATATACGTGTTGATAGTTTGATTATATAGATAATTGAATAATGTGTACTCTGACAAATAGAGAAGAGTTGCTTTCAGTGTGCGATCAGGGAACATGAAGTAAACTACAAAACTGCTTTCACTGCTTTTTTTTATTTTTTTATTTTTTTTTACAAGGTTGTGAGTCATCCAACTCCTTTATTCAGAGGTAGTCCAAGATCTTGGAAGTTTTCTAACTTTTCTCTCTTTTTAATCCTTGCTTGAAGGATACTGCTTTTTGCTTCACCAGTATTGATGCTGGAAGCTAAATGGTTGGTTATTCGATCGTGGAACTGGAACACAAATTGTGCTTTGTGTAACTGTGTTTTCAGTCAGAAAGAGTTCATACTGTTGTCATGGACTAAACAGCATCAACTATAATACCCACCATTAGAAAAGCAGTAAAGCTTATCACAAGTTAGTTATATCTACTCAAGCTAACAAATATTGTCAAACTGCTTTATAAATGTGAAAATTTTTATTTCTTTTGTATTATATAATTGTCAACATCCAGGTATACTTTCACTCCCCGAATCAGTATCTGCATGCTTTTAACATGGAAATGTCTTGCAGAGTCGGTATGATTAATAAGCTTAGCGCTGAATGTCAGGAAAGTTCTGTTACTAGCACAGTCAATTGGGAGGTCTTTAAAATGGATTTGTATTTACTGTAGAACTATTTGCATAAGCCCGCCAGTACCTTTGGTCAGATGTTAGCATTGTTGTTCTGCTTAATGGGAACTGAGGCTTAGAGAGTCTGGGTTGAGTACTTAAGGCGCAGCATCTTTTCCTAGGAGCTGGGTTCTGGGGAAGACCCATACCCTTTGATTTCTAGCCACATGGATATACAAATGAGGCATATTTGCAAAAGTGTTTTGTTATACTTAATAGTCCATCTTTCAGTTTTCAGTTTAGGAGATTTGAAGTTGAATGGTAGAGTATCAAGCACCCACACACGTATGTGCTCTAGGTGAAAGGTTCTTCATGATTCTGAAGATGAAGCATGAATATCTTTTCAACAGTGGGTTTCTCTGCGAAAGGTGTGATGCCTGAAATAAAAACAATCAGACTCCTGGCAGAGATTTTATGGCCTTTTCGAGTTTTAGACATGATGTTTGTTGTTTGGTATTCAAATTATAATACTTGCGAAAGGTACACTGCCACAGTCTCCAGACTGGGCACAGCTCTGTACAGACACAGCTCCCCACCTTGCTCTTGTGTATTCCATAATTTAGATTGCACTGGGGCATAGATGTGTGGATGTGGTTTAAGATCTCTGTAAGACTAAAGAGCTTCCTGAAAATCCACACCCTGGCATAAAGTCTTCTGAGAAGCAGTTTGATGGTATTAGCCTAGCCTTGAGATTACCCTCTGCTGTCTGAGGGGGTTGAGAAGAAAGTGTTAAGGGTTCAGACTTGGAGATGCAGAGTAGGAAATCAAGTACACAGAACTAACTTCAACTCCCCAGTTACTAAAACATATGTTATTGCAGGGTTTAAGTAACTCCAGAGTGTTTCAAATAGTTGATTTTGCACTACACCTTTTTTTCCCCTTTATTTTTGATGGGTATCTGTTATTCAGTATGATGAGAGGAATACAGCCTCATTCCCATCTGGTGATGCCGCAGCTGCTGGCAGAAGAGATTTGGAATCACCCTTTCACCAGCAGTACGCCTTCTTAGAACACCACATTTAAGCTTCCCTGGAAGTGTTAAAAAAATGGGCAGATGAGGCACCATGAATGACATGGTTTATTGATGGACTTGGTAGTCCTGGGGTAAAGGTTGGACTTGATGATCTTAAAGGTCTTTTCCAACCTAGTTGATTCTATGATTCTAAACATCCCCAAGTCTTTTGGAATGTAGACATCAGCTGCAGATAATAGCAGCAAAAGCAGCCAAGGCAGTATGTCAGCATCAAGATTTTTATTTTGAGAGCCTCTGGGCATTTACTCCAGACACTAGGAGCCAGGGTTTCAATGGGAACACAAAGGCAAATGAATTGTATTCTCTACATCTTTAAACCAACCAACCACAAAACAACAAAAAAGTACCAGTCCCTGATTTCCCTGAGGTAAGGTAGCAGCTAATAACCGAGAAGGTTTCCCTGTCTGTTAATTTATTCCACGTTTTTAAATACTCTGTTGTCATTCTGTGTAGATCAAAACTACCAACCACCTGCTTTACAGTGTTGAGAATGAGTCCTATGTGCCCATGTCCTCAGGTCTGCTAAAGTGGCAAGTCTGTGATAGTATATTTATTTTGGGGGTGAAGTGATTGATTTTTTTCCCTTTCTTTCACACTACATAATTTTAAATAATTTTCCATGTGCTTTCAGGGCTCTCAATCCTTGCTGAAATTCATATAGTTTTAAAATATTTTGTCTGTAATTCCCCTCATTACTTTTCCAGTTTCAGTAGCGGGATCTAGAAATAGTACCGGTTCACTGTTTGTGATCCTTAGTGCCTGATTGTATTAGCTGAGATTCAGCCCCATATTAACGCTGGCTTCATGACTTCCACTTGCCTGGAGCGCTGGCAGAGCAGGTTTCCATCTGCGTGCAGAAAATCGTGTAGGTGTTCCCCTAGAGGGCACCAGCTTTCTTCGGCAGACTCCATCAGATGCTGCTTTCCCCCACCCCCAGAAATGCAACATTTTCTCTTACCTGTTCACTGTGCTTTCAGCTCATTATCCACTGTTTTATCAACTGTTTCAGCAAAGCTGTGACATAAAAATCAGGAGAGCTCTGCCACATAAATTCCTATGAAATACGATAATATGACACAGAAATACGATAATAAGACCTTAGTACGTTTATCATCCTGTTTGTTTACTGAAGACATCTAAGAACTGTTGTTTTAGTAACTAAGTATCTGATAGTATGAAATGGAAACAGTTGAGCTTGCTCTCTTTCTCTCTCTACTTGAAGACTAAACGCTAGATTTGACCATAGCTTGCAAGTATGGTCTGCTACTGGGTATCATCAACATAGACTTCCAAATCACTGGAGCAGTACTACTGTACAGCAAGTAAGATTATGGATGTGAACTTCAGGTCACTAGAACATTACCAGTTAAATTTTTTCATCATTTTGTGGCTTGTAAGCCAAAATTTAGACTTGGGGGTTGGCCAGGCTGTGAGAAACTAACATTTGTATCTTGAGGTAAGGGTACTCTTTAAATGCAGGAGATTGACGGTATCGTTACTACATTAGTAATTGAAAGTTGATACTATGATGTTGGCATGCAGTATCTTACGCACTGTCAGGCAGCCCGTGTGCAGGAGTTTTAGAAGGCTTAATGCACTTTTGTGGTTTCCCATGAAGGAAGTTTCCTGGCAAAAGTCCTGATCTCTGGTGGTTTTGAAAAGGGCTGAAGTATGCTGTGGTAAAATCCTGGAAGGCTGCTTGTCTCCAGACAGCTGTTTTAGAGTCTCTGCAGGCACATCCTTCTTGGGTCATAGGTGGGTTTTCTGTCCAGCCATGAGGGCTAGGAATTTGTAATGGAAGCAGGTGCTAGCATCCAGCTCCAGAGCTTGTTCCAGGGAATGTATGATGTTGACTTATATGTAGTCATCATGTGTACAAGCCACACAGAATTGCAGAGTGGGATAACTGAAGGTGAAGGATGAAATAATGTAAAGATGGCAAAAGCTTGATGACAAACAGGTACTTGTATACAGCACAAAGCTACATCTCACAGTATAGTACAGCAGACAGTATTGTTAGGAAAAAAATCCCAGTAAAGCTGTGAACAGTGCTTTACCTCTGACTTTTTTGCATCTCCAGGGACAATCTCAACCAATGGGAGAAAGTAACAAGAGGTGAGGAAGCCTTTATATGGATTCCTTCCCAGTCCCTTCCTCCTGGGACCTCAGATTCACTTCCTGTGAAGATCGATGACTGAACAGCAGCAACAAATAGCTTTAACCTGAAAAACATCCCTTCTTCTTTTGGGGATTGCTTTTTGTTTTGTTTCATTTTTATTTGGAAAAAAAGAAAAAGAAAAAAAAGAAAAAGGAAAGCTACAAAAGGTTAACTAAGAGGCAGATCTGCCTAGGAAGGTAACACCCATGGAGTTACCTCAGCTAAATGACTCTGGCAGCCAATCTCCTGACCTGCACCAGTGACACAACATGAACAGAGGGAAAACGACAACCCAGAAGTTTTGGAGACAACTATCAAAAGAGAACTTACAACTTGTGAATATAAAAGACTGGCCTTATCTCATGGGCTACATTGCTGAGGCCTTAATTTAAAACTGATTGGGGGGGGGGGGCAGGGAAATCTTAGGGGGTACTTCTAAATTGTATCTTTCTAGTAAGGGTTTCAATGGTACTTTTATTATACTGTACTGTGGCTGGCTTTAACACCAGTGTCACTTGGGAGTTCTTGGCTATAAATAGAACAATATACCCATTGCTATTGTGAATGTTTATGTGTGATCTACTTGTAATCAGTTTGAACTCCAGCAGAATCCTTGGAGACTATAATTCATGCTTAGGTTACAGTGAATTCTCTTGCTGCAAACTAAAGGAAAACCAACATTCAGGTTAAAGTTTTAAAGTACTTCATTAAGCATCAAGCATCAGGATGCAAATTGTCTGTCACTGACAAGGCAAACATTGAAAGAACTGGTGCTTTGTTCTTCAGAATGATTTGTAAACCTAAACAGCTCCTTTCTTAAAACACTGGAAGTACTGGATATGAGAGTTTCAGGGTGGAGGTTTTGTATCTGTAGTGACAGAAGCATCAGATTAAATGTGACAGCAAAGATTTCCTTGCCTAGCTCACAATTAAGTAGTCATCATCTTTATTTCTACCTGCTGAGTTGTATTTTAAAAGGTATTAGAGACATACCTGAAGTATGCTATCTGCTGGGAGCAAAAAGCCTTGTCAGAAAAATCAGGTCTGATAAGAGAGGTTGTGGTACCATCACAATAAATCAGAAAATGTTTTTGTATTGACTAGCTTTTGTGTTGCACAGTAACACTGTATGTCTTCTACTGCTCTTTTCCCCCATCCAGAGATGAGTGAAATTAGGAAACATCTCCATTTGTCTGTTTGCGTTTTTCCCCTAGTTCAGAAAAATTTCCAGGATTAGAATTGCCTTTCTTAGAGGAAGAATAGCTGACTGAAGAAAAGTACTCTAAAATAGTGTGTTTACAGTTCTGTGCTGACAGGTAGGCTTCAGCCTTACAAACTTCTGCACAGACTTTAAGACCTTACATTTAATGCCACTCTTTTCAATTTAGTGCAATTGTACAGAGTATGTTTCAACAACACTTATTATGCCTTCATCTTTTTCTTAAGGAGAAGAAAAATTCTTTGTATTAATCCACACGGTAGGTGAAAACACAGTCTTTGTAAACCTTTCACATACAGCCTATACTATGCTTTTTTTTCACAGAAAAATACACTCTTCTTGTGGCTTCGTGAGAACATGGCCATTTGTGTAACTGCAACAAATAGTAATGATTTTAAAGACAGAACACAAGTTCTTTTTCCATCTTGTGTTTGTTGAGCTGTTTTGCTCTAAGCATGCCATCTTACGGGTTTCATGTAAATGACTTGGATTCTTGAGTTTTGCCTTCTGTTATGGTCGAGCACATACCAGTATCTGTACATGTGTGCAGTATGTGATAGATAATCACATCATGTATAAGTGCACTGGAGCCTTTGCATAGATATTCTAGAGGTTAAGAATTTAATATGAAGTTATTTTAGTTATATGATACACATTATCCAGCAGCAGCCCCATAAATTTTTTCCAGATTGCTTTACCAATTCTAAGTGCAAGAAATTTATTGTTGACCACAGCAATCTATTTTGGGGAAAAAAAAAAAACAAACAAAAAATTAAAAAATGGCGGGAAGCAATTGGACCAAAGTAGAATGAAAAGTATCTCATGCTGTGTCTTCTGTTTTACTCCTTAGCAGTTCTGGTTTAGCTAAATCATGCAGATGAAACCTTTCATCTGCTAAGTACTCGAGACACAGTCACAGTTCCTAATTTACATGAAATTTACCTATGGTGACTACAGAAATACTCTTTGGAATTCAGATACCCCCAACAACTGAATGGAATCTTTTTCCTTCATGGGTTAAGTATATTTGCTGTTGTTCTCCCTCTTTGAATGCTGATCGTACAAGCATTGCAAAAATATTCCTTATCGCTCCGTGTTGGTGTGTATGGAAAGCTTTTAATTCATCTTTTACTCATTGATAGTAAAGAGAACTTCACTAGCTCTGTTACCATTCAAAGTATTTGGCAGTATCACATAATATTTTATGTTTCTCTGACAAATTTGTCAAATCGGCAATAAGTTATTCTATTAATGTTTAAAGTCTGTCAGATACCGTTTCTAATGTAGAACTATCCAGACCACATTAAGTATATGTTTGCTAGAGTATAATATCTGTTAGAATGAAAAATTGTGGCTCCAGAAGTCGTGGTTTAGTTTGCTTTCCTGGTGCGTTAAAGGAGAAAGGTCATGACAAAATGTTACTCTTTGTTAGCACCTAAACCAACAAAAATAGCCCACAGAGTGCAGATTTAGATGTGTATTGTTTATTGTAGAAACAAACTTACACCTGCACTTCCAAAGTCAAACCCAGCAAATACTAAAATTTTGAAGCTCCATTTGAATTTTACGGCTCAAATCATTGCTCAACATTACATGGTGAGATTGAATTGTTCAAAATTCTGGACTTGACCTCACAAATAGAGTAAGACATCTGGATCTGTAAGGCCTCTGGCTCATGAAGTTAAACTGCCAAAAGCCATTCTTCCTTGCATTTTTATCCTGCTAAAATTGACCTTGACCAAGATCAGTAAGAATGTATAAAAACCTGACAGGTCTCTCCTCTCCTAGAGGTGTTTATACTGCCAGAACTGCTTCATTTTTGTTATTAATTTCAATAGTTTTTCCCTTTTAAGACTGGACTGTTTGCAGCCATGTCAGAGCATTTCTAGTGTATTATGAAGCGATGCCTGAATGGTATGCGCTAAGTGAGAAAAACAGTTGACATAGCATGATACTCAGATGTTGCATATTGTATTACAGTACTGACAGAAATTCCATTGTTATAATTAATTTATGAAATTTGGACAGTAGTGCAACATTCTGCTGTAATGGTTCAATTCATGGCAGTATTATTTATTTATTTAGCAAGTGCCCATTAGAGAAGTGCAATGGGTGTTTTTTTAATTGAAGTATGTGGTAAAAAACTATTTACATTGGAGGGGACATGCAGTGTGTAACTCATCTTTTTATGTGGCACAGACTTCTTTTATGTGTTTAAACTTAGAACAGTGTGATCAGTTTGCTGTGACTGCATTTAGTGTTAAAATTGTAGGGATAGCAAATAGCACTATTAAAAACTAGATTGTTAGATGATCAAAACAATTATGACCCTCTTAAAATAATGCATTTGCCTCAAACACTGTGATATAGGAACAGTTCTGTGAAGTGGAACAATTGATTCAATTAATTTATTCATTCTAAACACAGAAAAGGCTTTCTGCACACTACCACAAGAAAGCTCACGTTCAAACTTTAGGTTATGAATCCCAATCTAGCAAAGGCACATCGTAACTCTTGTTTTGCTTTCTGACCAAAAACTGTGCTCGATTGTAATACGGGTGTATACTCTGTCAAAAAACCTAAAATAATGGACTGCTTTCTAGGGTAGATCAAACTGATTTGTAGAGTAGTTTCATATATATATTCAAAATTCAGGTTGGGCTGTTATGTGAAGAAGAAAGAACTTCAAGGTAACAACATTCAACTTTACTACATTTAGTGAGCTGAAGAATTTGTTTTATATATATATATATTTACACATATATATATATATATGATACATATAAACTATCTTTGTAAAAAAAAACAAAAAATATGCAAGTGCAATAATTTAAAGAGGTCTTAACTTTGCATTTATAAATTATAAATACTGTACATGGTGTGTAATTTTTTTCATGTATTCATTTGCAGTCTTTGTATTTAAAAAACAAACCTAAACCTTTACTATTACGTTTGTACAATAGAACAGTAAGCATTTATTATGATATAGTTATGTTGTAAATAAATTCACAAACCAAACAGCCAGTACATATGCATATATGGGTGTCCTGTTGTGAAGCCTGTTTTTGCTTTTACTGCTGGCTTTAGCACAGCAAGACTACTTCTGTGGATATGTAATTATACATATAAATACATGTATGATACATGAAATATATTTAGAAATGTTCATAATTTTAATGGATATATCTATACATTTACTTTGGTGTGAATATTAATGAATACAGAGGTTTTTAATATTATTTTTCATGTTTATTTTTACTATTATTGGGAGTGGAAGTGAGGGATGGGAAGTGCGTGTACGTATCATATGTTTATATCACAAGTAAATCACAGGAGAAAGGGATTCATAACATAATGAAGTCCTTTAAAAAGGTAGTGCCTGTAATTGCAATTTACTGCTTATGGTGTTTTCCCAACCTAATGTAATTCCTTGTTATTATTATTACTTATTGTAAGTTCACATTGTCACCACCTGCAGAGGGATCTACTTTGCTATTTGTCCTCCTGTTGCCAGAGAGCATACCTTGCTGTTGACAGCTACTTCCACGCAGATCCTTACTTTGCCAGTGTCAAATGGCAGGGCAGCTGATGGAGAATCTTTTGCTGCCTTTTAGAATCATGGAAATCCTGAGATACTGAATTGTAGAAAAATAATCCTGCATCCAGATCTTTTAAGGTTTGCCAGTCCAAAGTGATAACAGGGTTTTGACGGCTCCCTGTACCCTGAAAATACAAGGTAGGTTCAGGGAACTATGAAGCAAAATTCTGAACAACATATTAGCAGATAATTATAAAATGGGGGGGCGGAGGAAAAAAGTGTCTGCATGCTTATCTACCTAATACATTGATTCTCTTCAAAGATCTCTCACACTGTTCATGCTCAGTAAACAGGGTACTGGCCAGAGTGGTCTTGTGTCTTTATGTGATTCTTCGTGACCCATTCTCAAAGATGTTGAGCCTGGGATAGTGTTTAACCTGGACTCTGTCTCTAGTTACTCGGTATGGCCTCAAAACTTCCCTGGTCTCCCTCCTCACTGAAGGAATGCAGCATTGCTAGGATGACTTGACCAGAAACAAGTTTCCAGGGCAACTGGCTCAGTTTTAACTCCTGCATGTGGCTGTCAAAAACAAATATTACAAAATATACCTGGCTCTGTGCTGTTGTGACCAGCCCACCCAGAAAGCTCTGTTTGCTGCAAGGGGTGTGCTGCTAGGGCTAGCTTTAGTGATTAAATGGAAACTGCACTGACTTCTAATGCATTTTTTAGTATTTATTCATTTACGTTAAAGCTTTACAAATTATTTTGAGGGACAAGCAACAGAAGAGGAATGTTTTTGTGATTACTATTGAGTTGGTCCTTTCCACCTGTTCTGTATTGTTGGCAAGGAACTGTAGGCTAAAGTCAATGACTTTCTGGTCAAGCTGTTCAAATTGATCACAGTCACATGCTTTTTTTATATTTTTCTGCTTAACATGAAGACTTATCTCTTGTAGCACACCACAGTGCTTTGCCATTGATGGTCACTGCCTAGTCAGTATGTTTCTTTAACTTTTTTAGCCCTTTGTTATTGAAAAATGCCACCAGAAACTTAAAGAAATCAACCCCTGAATATATTCCTATGCAGATTTTTTGAAGATATAAATGAAAAAGGACCTTAACTGAAGCTCACTGAAGTCTGGGGAGGAAAAGAGTATTTCTGTTGGTTTTGAGGACCTTTGAATTATGCTTGTTTGAAAGTACCCAAGTGCTCTGTAAAATCAAGTGCTCATTTGAGTCAGTTGTAAAGGACACAGACTTCAATGGATTTCAGGTGCTCAACAACTGTTGGAGGTTACCTCATTGTACTTACTTTGCTTAAAACAATTACTAAGGAGAAATTCCCCTTCTTCAATCTGTAATCCCTCCTTGGATTAGGAGGCAAATTTTATTCATGGTGTTTTGGTAGTGCTGTAGGAAAAGCTACCTGTGCTGTGCACATTGCTTACGAAGATGGTCTTTGCCTCTGCATCAAGAATGGGTTACAGAGCAACGCTTCAGAAGGTAGTTGGTATGTGTGCATGAGACCTGTTGTTTAAAAGCTTTCTAAAATAAAGGGAAAACCTGAGACTCAGGAATTTTGAAAAGGATGAGTTATACCAGGTAAAGTTTTCCTTTGATGTTCTTCTGGTTTGTAACACTGCTGGAATGACTGAATGATTTTCACCATAGTGGCTGTTACCTGGCATTAGTTACTCAACTGGCATTAATTTTTCTTTTTTACTGCAATGAAACCCTGTGAATACAGGTGAGATGTTTGTAGAGCTACTTCTGTTTCCGTATTTATGCTGCTTATAGAAGCAACGTAAGTTGTTAATAAATGCTATTTAATAAGCATATGGAAATGAAAAAAACAGAAAAAAGCCAAAAAGCAACTTCTGGAAGCACCTCATTGAGTCAGTATCTGTTAGAAGCCAGTAACCTCAACAGGGAGAGAAGATGCAATAGAACAAACTGAATTCTATTCCTTTCTAGAGCTTATCAAGTTATCCTGAAGACACACTGGTTGGAAATACTAGTTTCACTAGTGTTATTTTCACCACAGGAAGAAAAATGAAATAAATAGGATATGTCACATTCTGCAATAAGATAAGAAATCAAATACAAATTGTGTAATTCTCCACATGACTCTGCAGGTTTTATCCAGATCTTTCACATGCTTTTCATGTGTATGTACATAAAAGCACGTTTTTAAAATGTGCAATTATCTGACAGCCTGTGTACACATATATATATAAAATATGCAATATATATATAGTATGCAACACTATACTCGTGTTGCATTTGGTGTCTGTTTCAGATACAAGTAGCCTAGGAGAAAGATGTGACATACCAAGAAATGGTGAGAGGGAAGTGCTCGTGAAAGATCCATTAGAGAGAATAATATTTTGAAGAAAAAACCTTTTTTTACTCTGAGCATAGTTACATTTAATTTGATAATAAACTGCCTGGGTAGTAGTTGGCCAGGTTGCATAGACTCCAAATAGCTATTATGATTGTTGGAAGTAATATAATCACAGCACTTGTTAGCAACAGGCTGGGAACACACAGAAACAGACTTCATAACTTAACTATGGAAATAAACTACCAAAAGAAAAGCATTGGTGTTTTAAAATGTTGAAATGTTGAGAAGTAATTTTCTCAACTACTTTTAGCATGTGGCAGATACCCAGCTTGTTGGAAATGGGGTGTTTGCAGGGCAGGGAAAGCTTTAGGAGAGCTGCAGTCACTTTTCTCTCCTGTAGTCTCATGCGGAGCACCTCATTTAGCACTGACTAAAGCAAGCTAACCCAGAAACTGTTCTGCTCATCGCTGTCACCAAGTTAATAGGATTGGGGAGTGCTCAGTGTGACCGAGTCTTCTTTGCCAAGGAAGAGGTAAGTACCATTGATAAGGTGATCTCTGCCAATCACCAAAACAAGCAGTAAGACACAACCAAACCAAACATACCCCTGTGCAGCAAAGACTCTGGGGCAGGAGTCCATGGTATTGCTCATCTCTGCATCCAACAATATTAACTGGTAGAAATCCATAGGAGCAGAACTGTTGTGAAATCCTGCCTAAAGGGCCTGAGCCTGCACCATGTACCCAAGCAGATACCCTCTGACTTGTAGGGTGGTGAAGCCTGGGTCTCTTACAGGCTTACATTATTATTCTTAGGTTTAAAAAATCAAGTTGGGTTTTCTATCTTTGCATATAAGTGAATTTCTCCTTTGTTTCCTGTTACAATCCATCTCTTGCTGTGCTTTGGCTGTGATACACAGACTTCCATATTCTGTAGAAACTGGCCAGCAGAATGAGCAGTTATGGTGAGGACCCCAGTTCTCTCTCTAAACAGCCACCTCTTTCATAAAATGTGGGACTTTGTTATTTTTGAGACTATACCCCTCTGAAGTTTGGATGAAATCAACCAATACATTCAAAAGCTTTATGGGAGATAGTGAAGGTGCCAGGGAGTGGGAGGTATAGTCTGACATTGCTGGAGCCACCTAAGATACCAGGCTATGTTTTACAGTTTAAACTTTTACTTCAGAACTATGGTAAAAGAATAAGATCTTTTGAAGTCCCTCATACTGTATGTGTATGTTTGCCCCGCAAACTAATTGTTGGCCTTCCTAATACACTAACTAAACAATGCAACTTGCCTGCAGGGTCTCAGGACAAGTCTGCACTTACCTTGGGTTTTCCTGCTGTAGACGCACTATGTAGAGGTATTTTATCTCTCTCTGCACCGGGGAACAGCTAAGTCTCAGTTTCAAGACTGAGTGCAGCAATGCTTTGGACTACATGCAGGTTATATTTCTGGCACTAAAGTGTGATCATCAAACTGGGATGGAGACAAACAACTAAGTAGCATGTATTGTAAAATTATCTTAGATTTTAACTTGTTAAGGACTTCTGGTTTTGTTTAAGGATTTAAGTTTAGAAGCTCTCTTAAATCTAATTGTGGGGCCTGCTGGTGTTGACACCAGCCTTCCCAGTGGTACTAATGAGGCTGAATGCTCCAACTGTTGAATAGTTGGACTTTGGTGCTGTCCCCAGATACTGTAAACACTTTCTGATGGATGGGCTATATTTAAGGGCCCCATTTTGTCCTTTATATAAAGCCTGCCCTGCACAGCAGAAGGGTTTGAATTATCCCAGTCCTATGGCAAGCTTCCTCAGCCTCCTGCTGTTTCCTGTCTGCAGTCTAGAGCCTTCAGCTCTGTCCTGGTCCAGGTGGAAAAAGTGAACCTGGATCCTGGCTGTGTCCATGAAGGATTTTGAAAGGTCCTACTGACTCCTTTCATAAAAAAAACAATCTTAGAGGGGGCTTGGGACAGGTGTAAATACCTAAATCATCATCAGTCCCAAAAGTACAATGTCTGTTTAGCCTCTGAAGGTAGCAGTGTATTTAGTTGGTAGTGACCATGGAAGACCTACTCTGGTAGGTCTGTTTGCCCCTATTGTCCAGCTTTGGAGCTTGCCTTTGACACAGGTACCAGTCTGAACCTGCCTGGGCCCCACTACACAGCCCAGATTACACATCAGGCTCAAGCAGTATCCAGCCTATTTCTGTGCCAGAGATAATTGAGAAAGTGCCTGCCCTCATCCTGTCTCTTCCAGACACCATAGGGCTGCCTCTGCAATGGACCTACGCGATCTCTGAGCTGTTCTGTGGATCTGAGCATAAGGTCACCCTGGCTGCCAGTAGTCTGGCT